TGTATTTTTAGTAGAGACCATATCGGTCAGGCTGGTCTTGAACTTCTGACCTTGTGATCTGCCCACCTCGGCCTCCCAAAGTGCTAGGATTACAGGCTTGAGCCACCGTGCCCGGCCGATGAAGGAATTATTAAAAGAGAAGATAATCTGCCAGAAACCGTTTGGTACTGGGAAATCCTCCATAAATATGAGAGCAGAATGTAAGCTCCTCCATAGACACCATCCTTTTCAATCCTTTTCAATCTCTTTCATCACTGGATTTTCAGGAGCTGGAACGGCGCCTGTTGGAACATAGATGTTTGATAACTATTTGTAGAACAAATGAATTATTTTAATGATATTTCTCAAAGTTAAAAAAATAGTTTGCTCTAGTGGGAAGTCCCTGGCTTGAGCCCTGAGAAAGATGTAGTTCAAGTGTCCTTCATAGATGATGCAGCCAACCCACTCCCGCCAGTGGAGGGGACCCTCAGGGAGGCTGCCTTGCCCTGCAGGTGGGCTGACCCATCTCTCTCCAGGGGCCACAGGCGAGCACCCCATTGGGTGTTGGGAATATCTCTCCACATTCCTCACATGTCTGGCATACTTTAGCCATTTGTTTTTGATCTGACTAAATAGCAAGTCAGCAGCCTTGGTCTGTTTTCAGGAATCCAACATAAATATTATTATTTATTCCATTTACAATTGGCAATTAAGTTTGTTTTCAGGCACCAGAATGGAATTTAAAACACTCAGTTAAGTAAACCAGACTAATCAGAGGCAGCCTGCTTTTGTCTTGGAAACATTCTTTACAAAAACAACAAAAGAAGCCTGCACTGTTAACAGAGAAAGGCCTGGAACACTCTCTGCTTCTCCTGATTCCCCCTTAAACTCACCTCGCACTCACGAGTGAAGTGTGTATGTTGAAAACAACCACAGAAGGCCAGAAATGGTGGCTCACACCTGTAATCCCAGCACTTTGGGAGGCCGAGGTGGGTGGATCTCCTGAGGTCAGGAGTTCTAGACTGGCCTGGCCAACACGGTGAAACCCCATCTCTACTAAAAATACAAAAATTAGCTGGGCATGGTGGTAGCCACCTGTAATCCCAGCTACTCAGGAAGCTCAGGCAGGAGAATCGCTTGAACCCGGGAGGCAGAGGATGCAGTGAGCCGAGATCGTGCCATTGCACTCCAGCCTGGGCGACAGAGCAAGACTCCGTCTCAAAAATAATAATAATAATAAAAAATAAAAAATAATAATAATAGAAAAGGACCCTAGAGACCTGGCTTCTATTCTCTTTCTCTTTCTCTCTCTCTCCTTTTTTCTTCGAGACAGGGTCTTTTTCTGTCATTCAGGCTGGAGTGCAGTGGCCTGACCATGGCTCACTGCAACCAACCTCCACCTTCTGGGCTCAAGGATCCTCCTGCATCAGCCTCCCTGGTAGCTGGGACTCCAAGTATGTACCACCATGTCTGGCTAATTGTTTTTTTTTTTTTTTTTTTTGGAGACGGAGTCTCGCTCTGTTGCCCAGGCTGGAGTGCAGTGGCCGGATCTCAGCTCACTGCAAGCTCCGCCTCCCGGGTCTACGCCATTCTCCTGCCTCAGCCTCCCGAGTAGCTGGGACTACAGGCGCCCGCCACCTCGCCCGGCTAGTTTTTTGTATTTTTTAGTAGAGACGGGGTTTCACTGTGTTAGCCAGGATGGTCTCGATCTCCTGACCTCGTGATCCGCCCGTCTCGGCCTCCCAAAGTGCTGGGATTACAGGCTTGAGCCACCGCACCCGGCCTGGCTAATTGTTTTTAATAGAGACAGGGTCTCACTATGTTGCCCAGGCTGGTCTCAAATCCTGGGCTCTAGCAGTCTTCCTGCCTTGGCCTCCCAAAGTGCTTGCATTACAGCTGGTTGTGAGCCACCGTGCCCAGCCTTGTCTCATGTGTAAGTCAAACTGTAACTTGGGCCTGAGTTCTTCATTTGTTGAAATAAGGAACAAGATAGTCTTGGATGACACCATCCATTTGTCAAAGACTATGGTTATACTTCTTGGGCCAGGCAGACGAGCTCTCAGGTGATAACTTGAAAGAGAGAAAGCTGTAAAAAGGGCTGGAAGGAGAAAGCGAGAAGATAAGTAGTGTGTTGCTTGGAAACAGTGATTTTTTTTTTTTTTTTTTTTTGAGGCAGAATTTTGCTTTTGTTGCCTAGGCTGGAGTGCAATGGCCTGATCTTGGCTTACTGTAACCTCCGCCTCTCAGGTTCAAGAGATTCTCCTGCCCCAGCCTCCCGAGTAGCTGGGATTACAGGTATCCGCCACCATGCCCAGCTAATTTTTTGTATTTTTAGTAGAGACGGGGTTTCACCATGTTGGCCAGGCTGATCTCGAACTCCTGACCTCAGGTGATCCACCCACCTCGGCCTCCCAAAGTGCTGGGATTATAGGCATGAGCCACCGTGCCTGGCCAGAAACAGTGATGATTCTTGATTCTCCTGACTTGCTGGGCACCCTTGGGCAAACCCCCTGTTCCTTTTCAAACCCCAGTCTCCCCATTTGTAAAGAGGTTTAAGATAGAATCAGGAGGCCGGGCGCGGTGGCTCAAGCCTGTAATCCCAGCACTTTGGGAGGCCGAGATGGGTGGATCACAAGGTCAGGAGATTGAGACCATCCTGGCTAACACGGTGAAACCCTGTCTCTACTAAAAATAGAAAAAATTAGCCGGGGCGAGTGGCGGGCGCCTGTAGTCCCAGCTACTCGGGAGGCTGAGGCCAGAGAATGGCGTGAACCCGGGAGGCGGGGCTTGCAGTGAGCCAAGATTGCGCCACTGCACTCCAGCCTGGGCGACAGAGCGAGACTCCGTCTCAAAAAAAAAAAAAAAAAGATAGAATCAGGAGGCCGGGCACGGTGGTTCATGCCTGTAATCCCAGCACTTTGGAAGGCCGAGTAGGCGGATCACCAGGTCAGGAGTTTGAGACCATCCTGGCCAATATGGTGAAACCCCATCTCTACTAAAAATACAAAAATTAGCCGGGCGTGGTGGCATGTACCTGTAGTCCCAGCTACTCCGGAGGCTGAGGCAGGAGAATCGCTTGAACCTGGGAGGCGGAGGTTGCAGTGAGCTGAGATCGCACCACTGCACTCCAGCCTGAGCAACAGAGCGAGACTGCATCTCAAAAAAAAAAAAAAAATCAGGATACAGGAGTGACATAATCCAGATTGCTAGGGGGTGCTGTCAGGCTGAGTTTGTGATTTTTAGCTTCGAACGTGAACACCTTCAGGCAGAACATCCACTCTCCAACTCCCCACGAATCCCCCCAAGCGCCCGCCAAGCCCCATGACTTCCTGTTACCTCCTAGGCCTTGAAGGCCACTGAATTTCTGGTGTCTAAGAATTCCCTTCCAGTTCTGAAAATCCCAAGACCCATCAGCTAAGATGTTCCCCTGCCCACCTTCCTCTTCCCTTTGGGAGGTCTCTGTGCGCAGGCCAAGGAAAGTCTCAAGAAGTAAACTTGGAAAAGGGAGGCTGCAGATCACCCCAAGGAAAATCCAGACTGATTTGATCAGTCCTAGCTGGAAGCAGCACAGGAATAGCATGAGGCCTATGACTCATTTTAAGCAAACATCCGGTAATCCGACTGGTATCTGGTTCAAATGGGGAAACCTCAAGCACCTATGACAGGCCAGGCCCAGAGAAGATGCTGCCTAGATGGATACAGCGCCTCCTCCCGAGACCCTCCCAGGCTGAGGAGGAAACGCCAAGAACAGTGTTAACTCTATCCAAGAGCCCCAGAGCCCCAGGCCAATTGCTGTGGGGCTTTGCATCTTGCTGTGGGCACCTGCCGGAGGGAAAGACTCATGAAGTAGCATTTGACATGGGCCTTGTAGAAGAGGGAAGGTGGAAAGAGGATCCACATCTCAGGAACTTTGAGAACTGGGAGAGTTACACTCTGTCTAGAACTTCAGTTTTCTCATCTCTGTGCTAGGAAGGGTGGTAATGATGCCCACTTCCCTTTTGGTGGTGAAGATTAAATGAGCTGTGTGTAAAAAGATATGGCATGATCTGTTTATTCATTTATTTATTTTGAGACGGAGTCTTGCTCTGTTGCCCAGGCTGGAGTACAATGGCACGATCTTGGCTCACTGCAACCTCTGCCTCTCGGGTTCAAGCAATTCTCCTGCCTCAGCCTCCTGAGTAGCTGGGATTCCAGGCATGCATCACCATGCCCGGCTAAGTTTGTATTTTTAGTAGAGGCGGGTTTCTCCATGTTGGTCAGGATGGTCTCAAACTCCTGACCTCAGGTTATCCGCCCGCCTCTGCCTCCCAAAGTGCTGGGATTACAGGCATGAGCCACCGCGCCCAGCCTGCATGATCTGTTTAACTTTTTTTTTTTTTTTTTTAAGTTTTTGAGACAAGGTCTTGCTCTGTCACCAGGGCTGAAATGCAGTGGTGCGATCATGGCTCACTGCAGCCTCAAGCTCCCAGGCTCGAGATCCTCCTGCCTCAGTCCCTTAGCTGAGACTACAGGCATGCACCATCACGTCCAACTCATTTTTGTATTTTTTGTCGAGACAGGGTTTGACTATGTTGCCCAGGCTGGTCTCGAACTCTCTGGCCTATAATCCCAACACTTTGGGAGGCCGAGATGGGCAACAAGAGTGAAACTCCGTCTCAAAAAAAACAAAACAAAAAAAAAAAAACGCTGTTTGTGTTTTTATGCTTAAATTCACACCTGCAGAAAAGTTGCAAAAAGGTTCAAATAACTCCCATATCCTTCAACTAGATTAACTAACATTTTGCCACATTTGTGTCTCTGCTTTCTCTATGTATATGTGTATTTCTTAACCATAAAGGTTGCTGACATCATGTCCTTTTTGTCCCTAATTATTTCATCTCTTTTTCCCCAAGAACAAGGGCAGTCTCTTACATAACCCTGTACCATAATCGAAATTAATAAATTTAACATTGATACAATACTATTATCTAATATACAGTCAAATTTTGCTGTTTCAGTATTGTCCTTTATAGCAATCCCCACCCAGGATCCGATCCAGGACCATGTATTGCATTCAGTTGTCTTTTTCGTTTCCTGTAATCGGCAACAGTTTCTTAGTTTTTCTTTGTCTAACATAATACAAACATTTCGGGAAGGGTACAGATCCGTTATTCTGTACCATGTCCCTCAGCTTGGGTTTCTCGTGATTAGGCTAAGGTTGTAGACCGGACGGTGACGCCGTGTTTTTCTCAGTGCATCACACAGAAAGCGTGCGATGAATGTCAGCTTGTCCTGCTGCTGATGTTAACGTGGCCGTTCAAGCGGTGTCTGCAGTTTCTCTACGATAGTTACTATTTCCCCTTTTTAATTATCAGGTAATTTGTGCATATTTATGTGGAAGGCTTCGAATGCCCTTTCAGTTTCATGGGACGGAAAAGAGCACTTTATCTGGGCAAATGGATACCTGTGTCTTGCGGAAGAGACCCAGCAGCCAGCAGTACCTGTGTCAACAAAGTTACGCGAACAAAACCTTTCCGGAAGAGCTGAGGGACCTGGGTGCAACGCATTCTGGGAATTGTAGTCTCTGGGTGCTCCCGGCTGAACACCGCCCTGCGGTCTCTGCGAGAAAGACCCAGAAGCCGCCAGGGGAGGGCGAAGAGGAGGGCGGTGGGGACGCTCTGCGCGCGGTGCGCCATGGGACGGGTAGTTCACGGCGCGCGCCCTGTCGCGCCCCCAGCTGGGGAACGGGACTACCCTACCCGAGAGGCCGCGCGTGCGGGGCGAGGGCAAGCCGGCCGGGGCCTCGAACAAATCAAATCGAAGCAAAGAAACTGCCGGCTTTCAAAATCCTCCTCCTCCGCCATCATCCGCCGCGGTGCGGAGAGCAGGTGGTGCTGGAAGCGCGTGAGGCCCCGAGCGCGAGAGAGCTGACAGACAAGCCAGCTGGACATCTGGACCGCTGGACCTGGAGGTGGCGACCCCGGCCTGACCCGGACCCTAAATCCGTCCCCGCCCCACCGGGCGGAGGCGCGTGCTCGGTTACCCCCACGCGGCGGCGCCGCCTGTTTACGGTAGAGTCAGGGTCCCTTTCCTTTCACAGTCACCTGCCTGGAAGAGGGGTGGGGGCGAGGAGGGCGTGGCGCCCCAGTGCACCTTCTGCCTGCCCCCTCGGCCTTCTTCACTAAGTCTTCGATGGCCGAGCGCCCCGGGGTGGCGGTGGGAGTGGGGTTGTTGGGCGGCGCTGGCTCCTTTCACAAATGGGGAAACCGAGGCTTAAAGGGCGTCTGACTCGCCGGAGCAGCTCAGCCTGCAGCTGCTAGCAGTGGCGTCTCATATTAGCATCGTTGTCAACCGGAGGCGGTGCGAGTCCGCCGGGGATTCCAGATGGGTCTCCCGCGCCGCCCGCCTGTCATTTGCGGCCTGTATTCGCGAGTCGCTCCCGCGGCGCCGCCTCCCAGCAGGCCCACGCCAACGGGGGGCCCGGGCTGGCGCCGCTGTCCCTGGAATCGATGTGAGTCACTGCTGACGCTTTGCAGGAGCATGCATCTCACCTCAGAAAGTCTCCGACGCTGCTGCGGAGCGGGGAGAGGATATTTCTTTATTAACCCTTTGCTTTTGCTCTGGTGCTGACCCTTTGCTGACCTTGGACAAATCAATTCACGTTTCTGTGCTCCAGTTTCTTGGTCTATAAAGTGTGTGTGGAGGAGTGCATCTCCTTGTCTGGCTCTCTCTTGGACTGAGGAATAGGCCCCCTTTCAGCTGAGAAGTTCTGTCCCTATTCTATTTGGAGGTTTCACCAACACCTTTTACCCTCAGATTGTCCCATCTCAGAACTGCAAGAGATGCTGGGGTTTCAGGTTAATTTTTTGTTGGTTTTTCTTTAATTTTTTTTTTTTTTTTTTTTTTTTTTTTTATCTTTTTAGAGACAGGATCTCCCTCTGTCATCCAGGCTGGAGTGTAGTGGAACAATCACCGCTGAACTGCAGCCTTGGCTTCCTGGGCTCATGCGATCCTCCCACCTCAACTTCCCAACTCATGGGGACTACAGGTGCCATCACACCTGGCTAATTTTTAAATTTTTCTTTGGGGACAGGGTCTCATTCTGTTGCCCAGACTTGTCTCGAACTCCTGGTCTAAAGTGATCTTCCCGCCTAGCCTCCCAAAGTGTTGTAATTACAGGTGTGAGCCACTGCACTGGGCTGGTTTCTCGTTAATTTTTTTTTTGAAACAGGGTCTCCAGAAGTGCAGTAGCAAGCTCTCATCGCACTGCAGCCTCCACCTCCAGGGCTCAAGTGATCCTCCCACTTTACCCCCCAAGTAGCTGGGACTGCAGGCACCCGCCACCACACCCAGCTAGTTTTTGTATTTTTAATGGAGACGGTTTCAGCACATACCCAGGCTGGTTTCTAACTCCTGGGCTCAGTCGATCCACCCACCTCAGCCTCTGGAAATGCTGGGATTACAAGAGTGAGCCATTGCACCCGACTCTGGTTAATTTTTTTTTTTTTGAGACGGAGTTTCACTCTTGTTGCCCAGGCTAGAGTGCAATGCCACGATCTCGGCTTGCCCCAACATCTGCCTCCTGGGTTCAAGTGATTCTCCTGCCTCAGCCTCCTGAGTAGCTGGGATTACAGGCATGTGCCACCACGCCCAGTTAATTTTGTATTTTTGCTGGAGACGGGTTTCACCATGTTGGCCAGGCTGGTCTTGAACTCCCGACCTCAGATGATCTGCCCGCCTCAGCCTCCCAAAATGCTGGGATTATAGGCGTGAGCCACTGCACCTGGCTTGGTTAATTTTTAGGCAGTTTCAACTGGTCATTTCTTGAGCACCTGAATGCCAGGCTCTGTGTGGCAAGTAGAGTGATCCTGTCAAAACATAGGTCAAATGACATCTGTCTCTGCTAGAAACTTCAGTGACTTTCCTTGTCACTTATAGCGAAAGCCACTGTTCTTCCAATGGCCTTTATGACTTGGGCCGCTTGTTAACTCTCTCGTCTCTTAACTCCTTTTTTTCCTGTCTCTCTGTGCTTCAGCCTCGCTGGCCCTATTGCAGTTCCTCCAACCCTCTGCCCGTACAAGAGCCATTGAATTTGCTATTCCCTTTGCAGGAATCGTGTTCCCCCAGATGTGTGCATGGCCCAATCCCTGACATCTTTATTTAACTATTTCCTAATAATGCCTTTTTGTTGTTGTTGTTTGTTTGTTTTGAGACAGAGTCTTGCTCTGTCACCCAGGCTGGAGTGCAATGGTGTGATCTTGGCTCACTGCAACTTCTGCCTCCTGGGTTCAAGCAATTCTCCTGCCTCAACCTCCCGAGTAGCTGGGACTACAGACACACACCACCATGCCCAGCTAATTTTTGTATTTTAGTAGAGACGAGGTTTCACCATGTTGGCCTGGCTAGTCTTGAACTCCTGACCTTGTGATCCACCTGCCTTGGTCTCCCAAAGTGCTGGGATTACAGCCGTGAGCCACCACTCCCACGCCCCCCCCTTTTTAAAATCACATACTAAATGTGTCATTTAGCACACATGCTTCAAGAGGTCAAGGTTTCTGTTTCCTTTGCTGCTATACTTCTGTTACCTGGAACAATATCCAGCACACAGTAATACTCAAATGTTTTGTTGAATGAATGAGTGGACACCTTACCCAGAATAATAATTCATGCTTATTGATAAAGACATAGACAAACCAGGGTGATAAGTTTGAACCCAGAGGAAGCCTAGGGGTGGCAGGATTCAGGGTATCACATCTGTATCTGAGAATGAGGAGGCTGTAGGAGGAGGCCTTTTGGATAGCACCCCCTAGTTCTGCCCCTCATATCTGCTTCCTTGGTCTGTCCTGATTACTTGCTGTTTCTCCTCTTTTTTTGGAGCATCTCACAGACACATTTATTCATACCACAAAGTGAACACTATACAAGTATGTAGTGATGTTCCACGTTCCCGTCTAATATAGCTGGCTTCAGTTGTCAGGCAGTACACGAGAGACGTTTAATCTCACATGTACTCCAAGTAAAGCTGGAGTACCATGAGTAGGCGCAGGAGTTCTTAAAGGTTTACTTGTTGTTTTAAAAATTCTCATTTATTGGCCGGGCAAGGTGGCTCACGCCTGTAATCCTAGCACTTTGGGAGACCGAGGTGGGCAGATCACGAGGTCAGGAGATCGAGACCATCCTGGCTAACATGGTGAAACCTCCTCGTCTCTACTAAAAATACAAAAAAATTAGCTGGACATGGTAGCGGGTGCCTGTAATCCCAGCTACTCAGGAGGCTGATTCAGGAGAATGGCATGAACCCGGGAGATGGAGCTTGCAGTGAGCCGAGATTGCACCACTGTGCTCCAGCCTGGGTGGCTGAGCGAGACTCCATCTCAAAAAAAAAAAAAAAATTCTTTAATTTATTTAGTTACTTTTAGAGATAGAGTCTCCCGATGTTGCCCAGGCTGGAGTGCAGTGGCACAGTCATAGCTTACTGTAGCTTTGAACTTCTGGGCTCAAGTGATCCTCCTGCCTCAGGCTCTCCAGTAGATGGGACTGACTACAGGCATGTGCCACCACATCCAGCTAATTTTTATTTTTATTTTATTTTTTTGAGACAGGGTTTTACTCTGTCACCCAGGCTAGAGTGCAGTGGTGAGATCATGGCTCACTGTAGCCTCTGTCTCCTGGGCTCAAGCATCCTCCCACCTCAGCCTCCCCAGTAGCTGGGATTATAGGTGCACACCACCATCCCCCGCTAATTTTATTTATTTATTTATTTTAATAGAGATGGAATTTTGCCATGTTACCCAGCTTGAGCTGCTGGGCTCAAGCAATCTTCCCGCCACAGCTTCCCAATGTGTGGGATTACAGGTGTGAGCCACTGCACCTGGCCAGCTTTACTTCTTTTACCAGCACTCCTGACTTTATAAACAGTGAGGCTCATCAACCCCATTTCCAACCAGATCCCCTGGTAAACTTGGGTATAGTAGGGCTTCATGGGTGGCAGCCCTGTCCCTGTCCTATTATGATGGTAGCTGTTGTGATGTGGCAATCTCTGATCTAGAAAACCCTGAGAGGCCACTGTGGCCTGCCTAGTCTCCCGGCCAGGGTTGAAACCAGACGTGCAGTGGGGCTGACCCCTGTGCCCCACCCCAGAGTCATGCCAGTGTGGGTGTGGGGCATTCTCTGGGATGAATGATCGGGATCCCATAGCCATCTGTGTCCTGTTTGAGGAATGTGACCCTCAAGCAGAGAGCAGCCAAGATGCTCAAGCAGGTGTGTGCTCGGGCCAGACTCTGCAGCCTTTGGTTTGGGACTTGACTGCCATTCACTGACGGGGTCCAGGAAATGGGCAGCTCACATGGCATTGCTGGGCATCCCAGCTGCAGCGGTTTGGCAGAGGAGGACTTGTAATGAGATGGTAGCTCCTTATAGGCTAAAACATGATTTTTCTGTTCTCTTACTACCTCCTGCACCTTCTGGAACTGTTCATTCTCTGATGCTGTTTTCCTTTCTTCCAGTGGTTTAGCTGTAGGGTCTCCATAGCAGGGGAGGTACGGTCAGACTCCTGAGATGACTATGTCCTACCCTGCCCCCCAACCGGGGGCCCCAGGAGACTCCTTTTTCTTATTGCAACTTCGGCCTCTTCAGTCTGCAGATCTCCAGGGGAGCCCACCAGCCTAGTCAGCATGGCCTCGGAAGACATTGCCAAGCTGGCAGAGACACTGGCCAAGACTCAGGTGGCTGGGGGACAGCTGAGTTTCAAGGGCAAGAGCCTCAAACTCAACACTGCAGAAGATGGTGAGTTTCTGGAAGTTGCGCACTGGTGTGTCCGGGGGAGGAAAGGGAGTGTACTGAACTCTTACTGGTTGTCAGGCTCTTTCTGCTACATTGTCTCCATTATTTGTCCCAGAAGCTCTGTTAGGTATCATTGACCCCCTTCTAACAATGAGGCTCAGAGATCATTTGCCCATGTGCAAGCTCCCCTGTGCTTTGCATGTTTGCAGTGGGCATCCCTTTGTGCCCTGTCCTTTCTTTCTCAGGAGGGGATGGTAGGTAATGAGGGGCCACAGTTAGTGCCAGTCCCAAGATACAGCCTCTGACTCTGACTTCACATCTGGTGTTCTCCCACCCCTGCCCTTTACTCTCATGATCTCAGGCAGGCCTGGCAATAGGTGCAGCTTTCCCCAGAGCTGAGGCTGTGTTGGAGCTGCATTAAAACAACCTGGGCCCTCTTGGGAGATGCTGGTTCATGCAGCCAGATGTACCTGGGAGAGGGATGGCTGTCTGTGTGTATACAGGTACTGTAACCACAGAAAACTAGGAACCAGAGCGCAGACCCTATCTTTTCATCCCTTGTCAAGGCTTCGCTGCCACTGACCAACCCTGAATCCCCTGGCACCAGCAAATGAAGGCGCCTGTGTCAAGTGAGGCCTCCTGGGATTGTGGCCCAACCAGGGGAACTGGTTTGGACATGCCTGGTTGTCATGTTGTGTAGGCAGCCTTGTTCCCCCCAGGTCAGAGGCTGCTTGAGTCCTTGGGTAGCTGGGAGCGTGGTGACACATGTTCCTAACATCTTCATAAGGCCTTAACATTTATAGACTTCCTCCCTGTGCGTTTATCACTTTTTTTTTTTTTTTTTGAGACGGAGTCTGGCTCTGTCACCCAGTTAGAGTGCAGTGGCACGATCTCGGCTTACTGCAAACCTCTGCCCTCCTGGTTTCAAGCGATTCTCCTGCCTCAGTCTCCTGAGTAGCTGGGATTACAGGCATGTGCCACCATACCCGGTTAATTTTTGTATTTTTAGTAGAGACAGATTTTTGCCATATTGGTCAGGATGCTCTTGAACTCCTGACCTCAGGTGATCTGCCTGCCTTGGCCTCCCAAAGTGTTAGGATTACAGGCGTGAGCCACTGTGCCCGGCCTTTTTTTTTTTTTTTTTTTTTTTTTTTTTTTTAGATGAGTCTCGCTGTTTCACCCAGGCTGGAGTGTAGTGGTACGATCTTGGCTCATTGCAACCTCTGTCTCCCAGGTTCAAGTGATTCTCCTGCCTCAGCCTCCCAAGTAGCTGGGACTACAGGCTCACACCATCACGCCTGGCTGATTTTTTTTTTTGAGCCATAGTCTTGCTCTGTTGCCCAGGCTGGAGTGCAGTGGTGCGATCTCAGCTCACTTTAACCTCTGCTTCTTGGGTTCAAGCAATTCTCATGCCTCAGCCTGCTGGGCGGGTAGCTGGGACTACAGGTATGTACCACCATGTCCAGCTAATTTTCTTTTTTTGTGTTTTAGTAGAGATGGGGTTTTACCATGTTGGACAGGCTGGTCTTGAACTCTTGACCTCAGGTGATTCACTCACCTCAGCCCCCAAAGTGCTGGGATTACAGGCGTGAGCCACTGTGCCTGACCTTCAGCCTAGTTTTGTATTTTTTTTATTTCTTTTTTTTTTTTTTTGAGACAGTCTTGCTTTGTCACCCAGGCTAGAGTGCAGTGGCGCGATCTCAGCTCACTACAAGCTCTGCCTCCCGGATTCATGCCATTCTCCTGCTTCAGCCTCCCGAGTAGCTGGGACTACAGGCGCCTACCACCACGCCCGGCTAATTTTTTTGTATTTTTAGTAGAGATGGGGTTTCACCATGTTAGCCAAGATGGTCTTGATCTCCTGACCTCGTGATCTGCCCGCGTCGGCCTCCCAAAATGCTGGGATTACAGGCATAAGCCACCATGCCCGGCCCCCTATTTTTGTGTTTTTTTTTTTTTTTTCTTTTTGAGACAGAGTCTTGCTCTGTTACCCAGGCTGGAGTGTAGTGGCGCAATCTCAGCTCGCTGCAAGCTCCGCCTCCGAGTTCACACCATTCTCCTGCCTCAGCCTCCCAGATAGCTGGGACTACAGGCACCCACCACCATGCCCAGCTAATTTTTTGTATTTTTAGTAGAGATGAAGTTTTACCGTGTTAGCCAGGACGGTCTTGATCTCCTGACCTCATGGTCCTCCCACCTTGGCCTCCCAAAGTGCTGGGATTACAGGCATGAACCACCGCGCCCGGCCTGTATTTTTAATAGAGACGGGATTTTGCCATGTTGGCCAGGCTGGTCTCAAATTCTTGACCTCAGGTGATCCGCCCACTTGACCTTGTTTATCACTTTTGATGCTTGCATCACCCTTGTGGGAGATAAATAGGAATGTTGCTGTTTTATAAATGAGAAAAAAGGATTTAGGAAACTTAAGTAACTTGGCCAAGGTCATACATTTGATAAATAGCAGAGCTAGGACTTTCACAGAGGTCCAGTGAAATCCCTATTCCTGTGCTTCTAATTAGACACTGAGCTCCGTTTAGGAAACATGGATTTGATACTAAATGCCATTTATTGAATACTGTGTCAGATAAGGGTATTATGTGCCAGATAAGTAGTATCTCAGTTTATCTTCACAAAATCCCTTGAGATGGATTGTATTTCCATTTTGCAGATTGGAAAACTGAGGTTTAGGGAGGTGGTAAGACATGCCTAAGGGCACAGCTTTAATGAGTGGAGCTGGGATTAGAACTCAAGTTTGGGCCAAGTGCAGTGGCTCACGCCTGTAATCCCAGCACTTTGGGAGGCTGAGATGGGCAGATCACCTGAGGTCAGGAGTTCCAGACCAGCCTGGCCAACATGGAGAAAGCCTGTCTTTACTAAAAATACAAAAATTAGCCAGGTGTGGTGGTGGACACCTGTAATCCCAGCTACTCTTGGAAGGCTGAGGCAGGAGAATTGCTTGAACCTGGGAGGTGGAGGTTGTAGTGAGCCGAGATTGGGTCACTGTACTCCAGTCTCAGTGACAGAACGAGACTATCTAAAAAAAAGAAAAAAGAAAACTCGAGTTTGACTGGCGCTGAAATTCATCCAGTTAACTTCTTTGCTCTCCCAGCACAGGCTGGATGTGGTGTCTCCCATTTTGTAAGTCCCCAGGGGTGCCCGGCTTACCCAGCCCCTAAGAAGCAGCAAATCTGGAATAGGAATGATGTACCCAGGTAACTAATTGAAGGCAAAATGTGAATATACTCTGTGAAAAGGCTCTGGGAAGTAAGGCAGGGAGAGGCCTCACTTTTACCTTAAGAGCACCCAGGAAGTCTTTTTCATCCCTTGCCAAGGCTTGGCTGGCACTGACCAACCCTGAATCCCCTGGCATCTGGAAGTGAAGGTACCTGCATCAGTGAGGCATCCTTGGGTTCTGGCCCAACCAGGGAAACTTGGCCCAGCTTGGACAACTTCTTAGGGAACACCTAATAGGTTGTAAGTCCTTTCTCAAGACCCTTCTTGGCCAGTAGGTCAAGTTCAAACTTTATCTCCCATACCCATCTTTGTCTCTTCCCTCCCACATGTCACCCTACTCCATCCTGTACCAGCCAGACTCAGCTTTTTGCTTCATGTAAGATGGTTTTGTCCAGATTATACAATTAATGCAGGTTTATTATAGAATACAGAAACATTCAAAGAACAGGGAAAAAATATATTCTCACTTTCATATAACCCCAGGGATATAACAACTGTTAATTTCAGGGCATTTTATTTCTAGCGCATAGTCTTTTTTTTTTTTTTATCATTGAGACACACTCTCGCTCTGTAGCCCAGCCTGAAGTGCAGTGACAAGATCTCGCTTACTGCTACCTCCGCCTCCTGGGTCCCGGTTCAAGCAATTGTGCCTCAGCCTCCCGAGCAGCTGGGATTACAGGCATGCGCCACCATGCCCAGCTAATTTTTTTATTTTTAGTAGAGACGGGGTTTCATCATGTTGGCTAGGCTGGTCTTGAACTCCTAACCTCATGATCTGCCTACCTCGGCCTCCCAAAGTGGTGGGATTACAGGTGTGAGCCACTGCGCCCAGCCTAGTCTTTTTTTTTTTTTTTTTTTTTCCCTGAACGTATCTGAGTTCATTTTATTTTGTTTGTTTTTGAAACGGAGTTTTGCTGCTGCCCATGCTTTAGCGCAATATCTTGATCTCGGCTCACTGCAACCTCTGCCTCCCAGGTTCAAGCAATTCTCCTGTCTCAGCCTCCCCAGTAGCTGGGATTACAGGCACATGGCAGCATGCCCGGCTGATTTTTGTAGTTTTAGTCAGAGCCAGGATTTCATCATATTGGACAGGGTGGTCTCAAACTCTTAACCTCAGGTGATCTGCCTGCCTTGGCCTCCCAAAGTGCTGGGATTACAGGTGTAAGCCACCACACCCGACCCATTTTTTTTTTTTTTTTTGGAGACGGAGTCTCGCTCTGTTGCCCAGGCTGGAGTGCAGTGGCTGGATCTCAGCTCACTGCAAGCTCCGCCTCCCGGGTCTACGCCATTCTCCTGCCTCAGCCTCCCGAGTAGCTGGGACTACAGGCGCCCGCCACCTCGCCCGGCTAGTTTTTTGTATTTTTTAGTAGAGACGGGGTTTCACTGTGTTAGCCAGGATGGTCTCGATCTCCTGAGCTCGTGATCCGCCCGTCTCGGCCTCCCAAAGTGCTGGGATTACAGGCTTGAGCCACCGTGCCCGGCAGCCATTTTGTTTTTAATTGGGATTATAGATCTTTGAAAAGTTGTTGTATAACCTGATATATTGAGAACATTTTACTCCAAGTAGTGGAAGAACACACAATCACCCATTATCCTACCAGCTAGAGAGAACTGCTGTAACATTTGGTTTCTATGTTTCTGGACCTTGTTTTATGCATATGTGTGCATGTGTGTTTATATGTGAATGCATACGTTTTTAAAGAGTGATCAGACCAAATGCTTGAGTAACCTAATTTTTCACTTACTGCTATAACAGTTTTTTCCAAGTCAAAAACACCTGTGTCTTACATAGCAGTGCTAGTGTAACTATTTGTGTAACATGCCACAGTGAACCTCTATCCTCCTCTCTGTCTTCCTGTCTGTCTCTTTTGTTTGTTTGTTTGTTTTGTTTTGAGAGGGCAATGTCTTGCTCTGTCCCCCCAGCTGGAGTGCTCTGGCATGGTCATGGCTCACTGCAGCCTCAACTTCTAAGGGTCAGCTGATCCTCTCACCTCAGCCTCCCAAGTAGCTGAGACTACAGGTGCATGCCACCATACCAGGCCTTTTTTTTTTTTTTTTTTTTCTTGAGACAGAGTCTTGCTCTGTTGCCCAGGCTGGAGTGCAGTGTTGTGATCTCAGCTCACTGCAACCTCTGCCTCCCAGGTTCAGGTGATTCTCCTGCCTCAACCTCCTGAGTAGCTGGGATTACAGGCACGTGCCATACGCCCAGCTAATTTTGGTATTTTTAGTAAAGACGGGGTTTCACTATGTTTGTCAGGCTGGTCTTGAACTCTTGACCTTGTGATCCGCTGCCTTGGCCTCCCAAAATGCTGGGATTACAGGCGTTTACCACCGCGCCTGACTTTTTTTTTTTTTTTTTAAGTTGGAGTCTTGCTCTATCTCCCAGGCTGGAGGGCAGTGACACGATCTTGGCTCACTGCACCCTCCTCCTCCCAGGTTCAAGACATGCTCCTGCCTCAGCCTCCCAAGTAGTTGGGATTACAAACACCCACCAACATGCCCAGCTAATTTTTGTATTTTTAGTAGAGACAGTGTTTCACCATGTTGCCCAGGCTAGTCTTAAACTCCTGGGCTCAAGCAATCCACCTGCCTTAGCCTCCCAAAGTACTGGAATTACAGGCGTGAGCCACTGCGCTGGGCCTTCTGTCTTCTCTTGATGGACATTTAGGTGGTTTGGAATGTTTCATCACAATAAAATAGTACAGTAGTGAGCAAACACCCCCCACATAAATCATTTAACAATGAAGGCCTTTGTGCCATCGTGCCTGCTGGCCCTCTGGCTTGGGTGCCGTTTCTCTGCTTGACCTGGTACACTGCCCATCTTTGGAGGCTCCACACACACCACCCACTTGGCAAAGTCTTCTTTGCTGTGAGCCGCCAGTTGCTCTTTTCCCTCGGCTCCCAAGCCTCTCTACATGCCTGATTTAAACACTCATTACAGACAAATCATCTGCATAGCTCTGTACTCTGGACCGTGAGCCTGTCTGATTCTCTGTAAGCCAGGGCTCGTCACACAGTAGGTGCACCATAAACTGTTGAGTGGCAAGGTGGTTGCCAGCCTCTCTCCTACCTTAGCTGTTTGTGATTCCAAAAGCCTAAAGTTCTGTTCTTTGGTCCCTGGCAGCTAAAGATGTGATTAAAGAGATTGAAGACTTTGACAGCTTGGAGGCTCTGCGTCTGGAAGGCAACACAGTGGGCGTGGAAGCAGCCAGGGTCATCGCCAAGGCCTTAGAGAAGAAGTCGGAGTTGAAGGTGAGCAGAGTGGGGCGAACAGGCCCAGGCTGGTTTGAACAAGCTTCTGTTCACACTTCCACAACCCCTGCCTGTGTCCAATCTCTTCCAGGCCCCTGCCTGTGTAGCTGTCCCCCAAGCAGCTCCTCTTCCTCTGGCCTCCCCAGGGCACACAGCATTGGCTAGGGACCCTCTTCCTGTAGTCAGCAGACCCTGAGAGGGTGTTAGGGGTGCAGGAGGATTATTGGAGTGACACCTGTGAAAGATAAAGTAGGGAGAGCCTTTTGCTCACAATGTAGATATGTCACATATGAGGTTGGAAGGTTGCAGAAATAACCAGCAGGAGCCTCTGACTGTGAGGCTGCTCTGACCGACCTACCCTTTGGGAGTTTCAGAGCAAAGACTGCCCATGAAAGGAGTCTCATGTTGGGCAGAAGTGGCCAGGCCTCAGCTCAAATGCTGCAGCGATAGGAAGGTGCCGTAGCCGGAGACTGCCAGCTCCCTACGCTCCTCGCAACAGAGGCAAGTTCTCTTTTTTTGATTTTTGAGACGGAGTCTCACTCTGTCACCCAGGCTGCAGTTCAGTGGTACCATCTCGGCTCACTGCAACCTCTGCCTCCCGGGTTCAAGCGATTCTCCTGCTTCAGCCTCCCAAGTAGCTGGGATTACAGGCTCCCACCAGGACTCCGGCTAATTTTTTTGTATTTTTAGTAAAGATGGGGTTTCACTGTGTTAGCCAGGATGGTTTTGCTCTCCTGACCTTGTGATCTGCCCGCCTCGGCCTCCCAAAGTGCTGGGATTATAGGCGTGAGCCACTGCTCCGGCCTTTTTTTTTTTTTTGATACGGAGTCTCACACTGTCACCCGGGCTGGTGTGCAGTGGTGCAGTCTTGGCTTGCTGCAACCTCCGCCTCCCAGGTTCAAGTGATTCTCCTGCCTCAGCCTGCCAAGTAGCTAGGATTACATGTGCCCACCACCACGCTGAGCTAATTTTTTGTATTTTTAGTAGAGACAGGGTTTCACTTTGTTGGCCAGGCTGGTCTCGAACTCCTGACCTTGTGATTTGTCTGCCTCGGCCTCCCAAAGTGCTGGGATTACAGGCGTGAGCCACCGCACCTGGCTGGCAAGTTCTCTTGAAGGTTAGATCCAAGTGGTGCCCTCCTTGGCCAACACAAAGGGCAAGTCAGATTATTCTAGCCCCGTGTTCCCCAAACGGGTTCCACTAAACACCAGTCTTTTGATACGCTCTGTGAGAAAAGCAAGAGTGTCATGTTCAAAGCGTTGGGAGATGTCACTGGGTATTCCCCTCTTTGAAATCAAAGTCATGAAGGAGAGAGACCAGAGTTCCAGAATGGCATTGTCTCTTCGTATGTGCAGGGCTAGGGTTGGGCTGGGCTCTTTTGCATGTCATTGCCTGCTCACAGCAACCAGGGAAGAGACTGGGTTGAGTCTCCATTTATAAGTCAAGGGAACTGAGGCTCAGAGGGGCTCATTAAATAGCCACGATCAGCCGGGCATGATGGCTCACAGCTGTAATCCCAGCACTCTGGGAGGCCAAGGCCCAGAAGTTCGAGACCAGCTTGGACCACATGGTGAAACCCCATCTCTACAAAAAGTACAAGGATGGTTAGCCCAGCATGGTGGTGTGCAGCTATGGTCCCAGCTCCTTGGGAGGCTGAGATGGGAGGATTGCTTGAGCCTGGGAGGCAGTGGTTTCAGTGAGCCAAGATTGCACCACTACTCTCTAGCCTGAGTGGCAGAGCGAGACCCTGTCTCATAAAAAAAGAAAAAAGCCAGGCGTGGTGGGTCACGCATGTATTCCCAGCATTCTGGGAGGCCGAGGCAGGCAGATCATGAGGTCAAGAGATCAAGACCATCCTGGCCAACATGATGAAACCCCGTCTCTACTCAAGATACAAAAATTAGCTGGGTGTGGTGGCATGTGCCTGTAGTCCCAGCTACTCGGGAGGCTGAGGCAGGAGAATCGCTCGAAACCGGGAGGCAGAGGTTGCAGTGAGCCAAGATCACGCCACTGCACTGCAGCCTAGCGACAGAGCAAGACTCTGTCTCAAAAAAAAAGAAAAAAAAAAAATAGAGATGTGGCCAAGCCACACATCCACACTCCCGAGATCAGTATTCTCTCTGTGGCCCCACTTTCTGCAGGAGAAGGAATATGGGGGTGGAGGCCATGAGAGGATTTGCCCCAGAAGGGCCTGCCTGCTAGTTTACAAAATGACACTGCATATTTGTTTCCTTAGGAAGGTCATGGTCAAGTTAACCACCAAGACAGTGATTGTTTCTGCTCTCCTGCCTGGGGCCTGTACTTTCCCTGAGCATAAGTTGGGATGTTTTCCAACCAAAGAACTCAGAACTCGGCCCTCCCCGAGACCTGTGAAGAACAGGAACGGCGGAGGAGCCATGGGTCTGAAGGCTCCAGGACTCAGCAGGAGCTGAGCTTGCGTTCGGCACATGGGATCAAGCCCTAACAGCACCACCTTTTTTTGCCGTATGTGGCCTTGCCCTGCATGCAGCTCTGAGGCTGGGCTCTTATGAAATAGGAGATGGAGCCCTTCCTCCTTCCTCAGAGGTTGTCCTGGGAGAGCTTGGCCGGTAGGAGTGCTGCATGCACCTTCCCACCTGGTGCAGATGCAGTGGCTCGAGTAAATCACTGCACCCCACCTCCCAAGCCCTCCTCTGTGCAGGAAGCAGCCCAGGGCAGGGACAGGGTGGGAGCTACCCTTGATGGCCTAGTGTTCTGGGCCTAGTGCTGAGCCAGAGGTGTTCTCTCCCCTACTGTAGCAGTGTACAAGTGAGGAGTGAGGTCTTGATGGGCGAGAGAAGTGCAGCCCGGAGTCACACAACCAGGGGTAGGCTGAGGTGGTGTCAGCCCAATCTTTTTTTTTTTTTTTTTTTTTTTTTTTTGAGACGGAGTCTCGCTCTGTCACCCAGGCTGGAGTGCAGTGGCCGGATCTCAGCTCACTGCAAGCTCCGCCTCTCGGGTTCACGCCATTCTCCTGCCTCAGCCTCCGGAGTAGCTGGGACTACAGGCGCCCGCCACCTCACCCGGCTAGTTTTTTGTATTTTTTTTAGTAGAGATGGGGTTTCACCGTGTTAGCCAGGATGGTCTTGATCTTGTGACCTCGTGATCCGCCTGTCTCGGCCTCCCAAAGTGCTGGGATTACAGGCTTGAGCCACCGCGCCCGGCCTTTTTTTTTTTTTTTAAGAGACGAGTTTCACGCCATTGCCCAGGCTGTAGTGCAGTGGCATGATCATAGCTCACTGCAGCCTTGAACTCCCAGGCTCAAGTGATCCTTCCATCTCAGCCCCCTAAGTAGCTGGGACCATGTGTGTGCCACAATGTCCAGCTAATTTTTTTTTCATTTCTTTTCTTTACTTCTTATTATTTTTTTAATGATGGGGTCTTGCTCTGTTGCCCAGTCTGATATTGATCTCCTAGACTCAAGCAGTCTTCCCACTTTGGCCTTCCAAAGTGCTGGGATTATAAGCATGAGCCAATGTGCCCAGCCCAAGCAAGCTCTTAACTGCTTTGCTGTTCACATGGGAGATCGTTAGGACCTAAAACCTCATTTCAGAGAGAGGATACCAGAGGCTGGAGAGGGGGAGTGATGGCTGGAGTCAGCCAAATCAGGATTAGAACCCAGGTGGTGTGCTCTAGAGGCCTGTGCTGACTGTTCAGCTCATCAGAGTTGGGTTTGGGGAGCTTTGTTCGGAGTGACATGCCAGTATCTGTTGTGAGGGACTGTGGCGCTCGCGCTCTGACTGCCTGTTCCTGACACTATGGACCTGTGTGCAGGTGTAACTACTAAATAGATCTGGTGTAGAGCAGCCAGCTCAGGCCCACGTGTGTTCATGGTCTACCTTATTGGTGGATATGCGGATTTGTCTGCAAAAACCAGCTTCCTTAGTATGTAAGGTGGGAGTGGATCCCTTGATCCCAGGAGTCTGAGATACGCCTGGACAACATAGGGAGATTCCCAACTCTACAAAAGATACAAAAGTTAGCTGGGTGTGGTGGTACACACATGTAGTCCCAGCTACTTGGGAGGTTGAGGTGGGAGGATGGCTTGAGCCTGGGAGGTCGAGGCTGCAGTGAGCCGTGTTTGCACGGCTATGCTCCGGCCTGAGCAATAGAGTGAGACCCCGTCTCAAAAAATAAGGGAGGGCTGGGCACGGTGGCTCTCATGCCTGTAATCCTAGCAGTTTGGGAGGCTGAGGCAGGTGGATCACCTGAGGTCAGGAGTTCGAGACTAGCCTGGCCAACATAGTAAAACCCCATCTCTACTAAAAAAAAAAATACAAAAATTACTCTGGAGACAGAGGCAGGAGAATCACTTGAACTTGGGAGGTGAAGGTTGCAGAGAACCGAGGTCACACCATTGTGCTCTTAGCCTGGGCGACAAGAGTAAAACTGTGTCTCAAAAAATAAATAGATAGATAGATAGATAAAATAGGCCAGGCGCGGTGGCTCATGCCTGTAATCCCAGCACTTTTGGAGACTGAGGTGGGTGGATCACCTGAGGTTGAGAGTTCAAGACCAGCTTGACCAATATGGCGAAACCCCATCTCTACTAAAAATACAAAAAATTAGCCGGGCGTGGTAGCAGGTGCCTGTAATCCTAGCTACTTGGGAGACTGAGGCAGGAGAATCAGTTTAACCCAGGAGGCAGAGGTTGCAGTGAGCCGAGAATGTGCCACTGCACTCCAGCCTGGGCGCGACAGGATGAGACTCTGTCTCAAAAATAAATAAATAAATAAATAAATAATAAAATAAGGGTAATGGAGGTATCCATCCATCCCCTTAAATATTTATCTTTATGCTAGGAACATTCAAATTATTCTCTGTTAGCTTTTTTTTTTTTTTTTTGAGACAGTCTTTCTATGTCGCACAGGCTGCTATGCAGTGGCGCAGTTTCAGCTCAGCACAACCTCTGCCTCCTGGGTTCCAGCGATTCTCATGCCTCAGCCTCTTGAGTAGCTGGGACTACAGGTGTGCGCCAACACGCCTGGCTAATTTTTATGCTTTTAGTAGAGATGGGGTTTTGGCATGTTGGCCAGGCTACTCTCGAACTCCTGACCTAAGGTGATCTGCTTGTCTCCGCCTCCCGAAGTGCTGGGATTATAGGTGTGAGCCACCGCTCCCGGCATCTTCTAGCTATTTTGAAATGTATAATAGATTAATGTAAATGATAGTTACCCTGTTGACCTATTGAACACTAGGTCTTATTTCTTCTAACTTTATACTTGTCTCCATCAATTAACCTTCAGCCTCCCCTCCCTCTAACCTTCCAGGCCTCTGGTAACTACCAATCTACTATCTTCATGAATTGCTTAATACTTTCTTTAAATCATACCAGGAGTGGTGTCACATGCCTGTAATTGCAGGTACTCTGGAGGCTAAGGTGGGAGGGTCGCTTGAGGCCACTAGGTCAGGGTTACAGTGAGCTATGATTGTGCCACTGCACTCCAGCCTAGGCGACAGAGTGAGAATCCAGCTCTTAAAAAAAATGAAAAAAACAGCTAACTTTCATGTAATTTCTTTTTTTTTTTTTTTTTTTTTTTTGAGACGGAGTCTCACTCTGTCGCCCAGGCTGGAGTGCAGTGGCCGGATCTCAGCTCACTGCAAGCTCCGCCTCCCAGGTTCACGCCATTCTCCTGCCTCAGCCTCCTGAGCAGCTGGGACTACAGGCGCCCGCCACCTCGCCCGGCTAGTTTTTTGTACTTTTTAGTAGAGACGGGGTTTCACCGTGTTAGCCAGGATGGTCTCGATCTCCCGACCTCGTGATCCGCCCGTCTCGGCCTCCCAAAGTGCTGGGATTACAGGCTTGAGCCACCGCGCCCGGCCTCATGTAATTTCAAAGCACTTCTATGAATGGAAAGCTGGCATTCCTTACAATAAAGGAAAGAAGATAGTGTTACTGAATTATTGTTTGATGCTGTTGCTATTTAATGACTCTGAGCCTGAGGCCTGTTCTCCCTTTATTAAAAAGTCCCCATCACTATGCTCATTTTTGTATTTTTAGTAGAGATGGGGTTTCACTATATTGGCCAGGTTGGTCTGGAACTCCTGACCTCAAGTGATCTGCCCGCATTGGCCTCCCAAAGTGCTGGGATCACAGGCGTGAGCCACTGGCCCTCAACACGGAATTCTGTGTTGTTTACGTTCATGTTTCTCTGTCATCCATAACTATATTACACGTCCACGTAGAGGGTTGTATAAGTCAGGGATTTTCCTGACACTTCTGAGCCCCCAATAACCCTTGGAGGCCTCTTGATTTGAGAACAGGACTCCAGGTCCCACCAACTACAGCCAGAATGGGTCCAGCTTTTCTTTTTTTTTTTTTTTTTTTTTTTTTGAGACGGAGTCTGGCTCTGTCGCCCAGGCTGGAGTGTAGTGGCCGGATCTCAGCTCACTGCAAGCTCCGCCTCCCGGGTTTACGCCATTCTCCTGCCTCAGCCTCCCGAGTAGCTGGGACTACAGGCGCCCGCCACCTCGCCCTGCTAGTTTTTTGTATTTTTTTTTTTTAGTAGAGACGGGGTTTCACCGTGTTAGCCAGGATGGTCTCGATCTCCTGACCTCGTTACAGAGGCCGCCCGTCTCGGCCTCCCAAAGTGCTGGGATTACAGGCTTGAGCCACCGCGCCCGGCCGGGTCCAGCTTTTCACAAACAAAGCTCAATTAAGTCTTGCGGGCTGGGTGCGGTGGCTCACACCTGTAATCCCAGCACTTTTGGAGGCCAAGGTGGGCAGATCACCTAAGGTCGGGAGTTCAAGACCAGCCTGACCAAAATGGAGAAACCTTGTCTCTACTAAAAATACAAAAGTTGCCAGGCATAGTGGCAGATGTCTGTAATCCCAGCTACTCTGGAGACACAGGCAGGAGAATTACTTGAACCCGGGAGGCGCAGGTTGTGGTCAGCCGAGATTGCGCCACTGCACTCCAGCCTGGGCAATAAGAGCGAAACTCCATCTCAAAAAAAAAAAAAAAAAAAGAAGTCTTGCGATGCTCGGGTAGTTCAAATCCACCAGGATGAGGCTTCACTGTAGGCCTCCAGGGGCCTCTCCCACTAACTCTTGTCTTCTTTCCCCCGCAGCGCTGCCACTGGAGCGACATGTTCACAGGGAGGCTGCGGACTGAGATCCCACCAGCCCTGGTAAGCAAATGAGCTGTTCTTCTCCTCCACACACAGGACCCTCTTTGGCAGTTCCCAGGGCTTTTCTCATACTTTATTCTTTCTGGAGCCTAAGATAAGCCCTGTGGGTGATTGAGCTGATGGAATGGAAGCCTGGCAAGCCCAGCATGTGCCCTGTGTTCGGACAGGAGGGGAGGGTGGGAGCATGGAGACTGACAGGGGAGGAACCCCAAGGGCGGGGACTTCGGGGAGGTGGCAGAGCTGAGACCACACACTCCTGGGTCCTCCTGAGCTGCGTGGTTTGGTTCACTGTGGATTTCACCCCAATACAATGCCCCGCCTTTCCCAGCAACCCCTTCCTGCACCTCACAGTCCTGCTCCTTCGTGACTTCTCTGCACACAGCCCATGTAGCCGTCCCCGTCTTTCTCTGGCTCCTCCCTTTCTCCACACCACTCTCTGCTTTGGTTTGCTGCCGTCATGGGTGGCTTCCCATTTCCTCATTCCCAGGGCTCAGACTGACTTGCGTTGAGTTCCCGGTCTCTGAGTGCGTGTGTGCGGGTGTGTGGAAGGAAATAGAAAGGGGCAACACAGAAAGAAAGGCTTGCCTGGCCGAGGGAAGAGAGCAGGGCTGGCTGTCTCTTCAGGTCGGCAGCCTCTCGGTGTGTCTTCCTGGCACGGGGCTGCACACGGCAGGCCGTGAGGGTGCAGGTTTCTGGTCAGTGATGAGTGCGCACACCAACGTTACTGAGCCCCTCACCCTGGTTGTGCCCAGCCTCTTTTTATGTTTTATTTTTAAAATTTTGTTTTATTTTATTTTTGAGACGGAGTCTCGCTCTGTCACCCAGGCTGGAGTGCAGTGGTGCGATCTCAGCTCACTGCAAGCTCCGCCTCCCAGGTTCACACAATTCTCCTGCCTCAGCCTCCCGAGTAGCTGGGACTACAGGCGCCCGCCACCACGCCCAGCTAAGTTTTTGTATTTTTAGTAGAGACAGGGTTTCACCGTGTTCGCCAGGATGGTCTTGATCTCCTGACCTCGTGATCCACCTGCCTTGGCCTCCCAAAGCGCTGGGATTACAGGCGTGAGCCACTGCGCCCGGCCTTTATTTTTTTTTAAAGACAGGGTCTTGCTATGTCACCCAGGCTGGTCTTGAACTCCTGGGCTCAAACATTCCTCCCACGTCAGCCTCCCAAGTAGCTGGGATTACAGGTGCATGCCACTGCACCTGGCTTGTGAGGCTAGGATTTGGAATGTAGGTTAAGAAAATTCATTTCTGGGCCGGGCGCGGTGGCTCACGCCTGTAATCCCAGCACTTTGGGAGGCCGAGGCGGGCGGATCACAAGGTCAGGAGATCGAGACCATCCTGGCTAACACTGTGAAACCCCGTCTCTACTAAAAATGCAAAAAATTAGCCGGGTGAGGCGGCGGGCGCCTGTAGTCCCAGCTACTCGGGAGGCTGAGGCAGGAGAATGGCGTGAACCCGGGAGGCGGAGCTTGCAGTGAGCCGAGATCGCGCCACTGCACTCCAGCCTGGGCGACTAAGCGAGACTCTGTCTCAAAAAAAAAAAAAAAAAAAAAAGAAAATTCATTTCTGGGCCGGGCGTGGTGGCTCAAGCCTGTAATCCCAGCACTTTGGGAGGCCGAGACGGGAGGATCACGAGGTCAGGAGATCGAGACCATCCTGGCGAACACCGTGAAACCCCGTCTCTACTAAAAAATACAAAAAACTAGCCGGGCGTGGTGGCGGGCGCCTGTAGTCCCAGCTACTCCGGAGGCTGAGGCAGGAGAATGGCGTAAACCTGGAGGCGGAGCTTGCAGTGAGCTGAGATCCGGCCACTGCACTCCAGCCCGGGCTACAGAGCGAGACTCCGTCTCAAAAAAAAAAAAAAAGAAAATTCATTTCTGGCTGGGTGTGGTGGCTCCTACCTATAATCCCAGCACTTTGGGAGGCCGAGGTGGGCAGATCACTTGAGGTCAGGAGTTTGATACCAGCCTGGCCAACATGGCAAAACCCTGTCTTTACTAAAAATACAAAAATTAGCTGGGCATGATGGCACCTGCCTGTGTTCCCAGCTACTTGGGAGGCTCAGGCGGGAGAATTGCTTGAACCCAGAAGGTGGAGGTTGCAGTGAGCCAAAATCATGCCACTGTACTCCAACCTGGGTGACAGAGCAAGACTACGTCTCAACAAAAAAAAAAAAAAAAAAAGGAAATTCATTTCAGTGATTGTATATAAAAGAATTTCAAGTCAGGCTGGGTGCAGTGGCTCACAACTGTAATCCCAGCACTTTGGGAGGCTGAGTGGAGGCAGATCACCTGAGGTCAGGAGTTAAAGACCAGCCTGGCCAACATGCTGAAACCCTGTGTCTACAAAAGTACAAAAATTAGCGGGGCATGATGGCAGGTGTGTGTAATCCCAGCTACTCAGGATGCTGAGGCAGAAGAATCACTTGAACCTGGGAGGTGAAGGTTGCAGTGAGCTGAGATCGTGCCATTACATTGCAGCCTGGGCGAGAGAGAGCAAGAATCCATCTCAAAAAAAAAAAGAATTTCAAGTTAGAAAAGATGGTGAAGAAAACTCTCTTTCTGCCCCAGTCTCTGGCAGAGCCTCCTCTCTGACCATTTCTCCTGGTGGGATGAGGGAGTGTAGCTCTCTCCAGCCCAGGAGGTTTCCAGGAGAGCTCCAGATCCTCCTGCCAAAGCTGATCCTGGCCGTGGCTTGGGGATGGCCACCTCCATCTGCCAGTCACCACCAGAAACCCTGGAGGCATTTGTGGTTCCTCCCTCCCTCCTCCTGCATGTCCAGGGAACCACCAGCTTCGGCATGTCCCTTGCTCCGTGAACAGGCAGCTCCTCTCCTGCACTTGTCACACTGGCCGGCTGGTCCCCTCTCTGTTGCCAGTGTTGCTGCCTCACACTCCCGGGAGGGCACTCCAGCCCATCTTCCTATGCATCTGCTCTCTTCGGGTCCGGGGATGTTACTTCCGTATCCCTCAGCCACCTCAAAGCCTAGTGTTCTCGGGCTGAGGCTCACAGTTCTTGGCCTGGCATTCAAGGCTCTTGCCTGATCTGAGCCCTCACTTCCCTTCCACCCAAAGCCCATGCCATGTTGTCTTCTGGAGTCTCCCCACAGCTTGCCCCAGGCTCACAGCCTGCTGCTTCATGCTTATGTCTCTCTGCTCCTGTTTTTCAGCTGCCTGGAGTCTTTTCACATTGGCTAGCTGATTCTCATTCAGACTAAGCCCAAATGCCACCTCTTACAAGGAGCCTTCCCAGGCCACCCCATGCATACACACACCCCACTCTCCAGCTGTTAGGAGCCCTTTGCAGAGTTTCCAGTCTTAAGAATACCAAAATGGTTTGTGTCTGTGCTGGTTCTGCACCAGCCGGGGTGTCCTTGGAAGGCAGAGCTGGGCCTGGCACAGAAGCAGCACCTGCTGGGTGTCTGAAACTGACACGAGCTTCCTCTGTGCCCAGATCTCACTAGGGGAAGGACTCATCACAGCTGGGGCCCAGCTGGTGGAGCTGGACTTAAGTGACAACGCGTTTGGGCCCGACGGTGTGCAAGGCTTCGAGGCCCTGCTCAAGAGCTCAGCCTGCTTCACCCTGCACGAACTCAAGCTCAACAACTGTGGCATGGGCATCGGTGGCGGCAAGGTGGGTGTGGCAGCCCTCTCCCCGCAGAGTCCCCTGGTCCATCCACATCCGTCTGATATATGTGCCCTGGCCCTTGGCCACCACCATCTGGGATGGTCAGCCGTTGTTTTCAAAAGAGAAAGGCCTCAAAGGCAGCAGCCTGTGGCCGGAGGGTAGAGGCATCCATGAGGGTGGGGTTGCCAAGCAACCATCCCAAGTTCTTGGGTTGGCTTGGCAACGCAGAGGGAGTGCCGCTGCATACCTGCTCCAGCCTGCTGGCTCTGCAAAACTCAGGGCTTGGGGCATCCCTACACTCACTGTACCCACAGAGCAGCTGGTAGAGCCTGGCACACAGGCGGAGGAGGGCGCCTGAAAAGAGGAGCGTCCGCTCAGGGAGGCACTGTCACAGCTCACCTTTATTCCTGGACAGGGCCTTGCCCCCGGGGTGCGGGGGGCATCCCCCAGGCAAGGTCAGTGTAGAGCTTCACGTTGGGCTGGTCAGTGTAGAGCGGAGCTGCTTTGCTTCCCAGAACCTGCATCGAGGGCAGCCTGCGTGTTACTCTCTTCCAACTCCATCCCAGTGCCTTTAGACCCAGGGTTGGAGAACGCTGAGTGCCAGACCGCAACCCCTGCACACAACTTTCTTTTTTTTTTTTTTTTTTTTTGAGACGGAGTCTCGCTTTCTCACCCAGGCTGGAGTACAGTGGCCGGATTTCAGCTCACTGCAAGCTCCGCCTCCCGGGTTTACGCCATTCTCCTGCCTCAGCCTCCCGAGTAGCTGGGACTACAGGCGCCTGCCACCTCGCCCAGCTAGTTTACGGGGTTTCACTGTGTTAGCCAGGATGATCTCGATCTCCTGACCTCGTGATCCTCCCATCTCGGCCTCCCAAAGTGCTGGGATTACAGGCTTGAGCCACCGCGCCCGGCCCCTGCACACACTTTCTAACCAAAGGGAGAAAAGGGCACTGGGAACTAACAGCAGTTGGGGACATCTTATTTGAATATGCAATACTTTAACTTTTCCCACCCACACTGAAAGGTGGGTGGTGCCATCCCCATTTTTCCACATGACTCAGCATAAGCTTAGAGAGGTGGGTGGAGTGGATCACATAGCTAGTGCAGTGAGGCCCATGGCGCCCCAGGCTGAGGAGCTGGAGTGGCCTATCCTGCCGAGGGTGCCTGTGGCCCTCGGCCTGATGTGAGGGTGAGCAGGGGCAGGCTCTGTACCTGTCTTAGACAGCCCTCCCCCAAGTCCACTTGGGCAATAAGCTGTCCCTGTGTTAAGATATAAAAATGCGCCGAGCACGGTGGCGCAGTGGCTCATGCCTGTAATTCCAACACTTTGGGAGGCCGAGGCAGGTGGATCACCTGAGGTCAGGAGTTCGAGACCAGCCTGGCCAACATGGTGAAACTCTACTAAAAATACAAAAATTAGCTGGGCGTGGTGGCAGGCACCTGTAGTCCCAGCTACTCAGGAGGCTGAGGCAGGAGAATTGCTTGACCCGGGAGACAGAGGTTGCAGTGAGCTGAGATGGTACCACTGCACTCCAGCATAGGCAACAAGAGCGAAATTCCGTCTCAAAAAAAAAAAAATCATATAAAAATGTAGCAGGTGCGGCCCAACCTAGAATGAGTGGGATATGCTGAGAGAGCCAGAGACTCTATTCTAGCAAAATGCTTCAGTTTTCCTTCCATTACTTCCCTTCTCCCGTCCAGCAGTGTCTGGAAACTGAGGCTAAGGGAGCTTTCCTACTAGCCAGGGCTTGTCTGTCCTGTCCTGTACTTGCAGTGGGATGAGTTGGGGAATGAGTTTTGAACCCCAGGACCAGAGGGCCTCCTGGGCAGACAGGCCCACCGTGGAGTTTGATTAATGGTTCTCTGCGCCTCGGACCACTAATTCGATTAGATCTCTGGGTCTTGGCCTTGCCAACCTGTGCCTCTTGGGAGCTCAGACGCCGTAGTCTGGGTGTCTAACCAAAGCCTGCAGGTCCTTTGGCATCTTTTTCTTCTGGACAGTGTGTTTAGTGTGGTTTCTGTGCCATGCACCATGAGAATAAGAGGGCCCAGAGGAGTCGACGGGGCAAGAGGTGTGGCCCTGTGCTGGGGAACTCTCCATACCCAAGTTGGACTCCTTCAGGAGCTAAGGCCCTCACCACGTGGCCTCCAAGGAATCGGGGAGAATGGGGGTGACCTAGCAGTCAGCTGCTGCTGCTGAGGACCTTCCTCAGAGGCTGGTCTTTGGCAGAAGTTTGATGCCTCTACCTTGAGTGTGTACCTGATCCACCATCACCACCGTGGAGTCAGGCAGGTGCTGGCTCTTCTGTTCCTCAAGGACGGCTATGTGCAGTCTCATGCCAGGAGTTAGGCCAACCTACCCGCCATGTGTGGCTTTGCTAAATATTTGCTGGGTGACCTTGGCCGATTCACTCACCTCTCAGAGCCTCAGCTTCCTCATCTGTAAAGTACAGCCAATCCCGCCTGCCTCCTCGCAGGCTAGTGTTGAGGTTGAAACGAGAAAATATGCCGAGGGTGCCCAGACCCTAGCAGGTGCTCTGCAAACGTCAGGTGTTCCGTAAATCTCACTTCTCTCTTGATGCACTCGCTCATGATTCTTTTGTGTCGCATTTACCATGGGCTGTGATTCCCATCTGTCAGTCTCCGTTTTTCAGTGCTTTGCCTATTGGTGTAACCAGGGTAGAAGCTACTTCCTGGCACCACACCAGGGACAGGACAAGCTGGGTGTTAGGTTTTTACTGCCAACAGGCAAGCCCCTGCTGTGCCTGGCCAGCTTAGATACAGGCATGTATCAGACAGGTCCTTCTGGACCGTGGACTTGGCAGCTGGCTCCCTTGGACATTGTGGTGCGTGGAAGAGAAGCTGGAAGATTTGGGCTCTGGTCCAGCGTCCACCACTTGTTTATTGACCATAAGAAAGTTTCCGTTCCCCTTACCCTGAGTTTCTTCAGCTGGAAAACAGGAGTCATGAAGTAAGCTGACTAGGAAGTCCCTCCCCTGGACCTGGCTGAAAGTTCGTCCACTCCATGTGGTGTCTCCCTTTCCTCAGTCTCCGAAGCGAAGCTAGACCTCTCAGGCTGGTGTGACACAGCATTAGATGTAAAAACCTTTTGTAAACTGAAGTGCTGGGCACATGGAAGGTGTGACTGTTGTGCTGTTAGCAGTCCTGTGTCTCCTGACCTGCACCAGTGGGTGGCGTGGGATGTTGAAGAGCAGTTCAGTGGCAGTGGCCGCCCCACTGGGAGAAGGGGCTCCTGCCCATGGCCTGGGCCCCTTACCTTTCCCCACAGATCCTGGCTGCAGCTCTGACCGAGTGTCACCGGAAATCCAGTGCCCAAGGCAAGCCTCTGGCCCTGAAGGTCTTCGTGGCTGGCAGAAACCGTCTGGAGAACGATGGCGCCACTGCCTTGGCAGAAGCTTTTAGGGTGAGTGGTTTCTGTCCATCCTGCCCCCGTGACCCTGAGGTGCACTTGGTGTAGTAGGCTGACAGTCCTGGATGCGAATCCCTGGCTGGCACTCAGCCGAGAGACCTGGGGCGTCACGTGCCCCCTCCAAGCCTGTTAGTCCATCTGAAAATGGGCCAGGATTCTTGTCATGCATTTCTGGAAAGGTGTGTGACTGCTCCCTCAGGTAAGCCAGCAGCAGCCCCCTGCGGGGCTTCAGGCCAGGCAGGCCGCTCTGACCAAAGAGTGTCATCTGCCAGGCTCAGAAGTGGTGAAATGAGATGGCGGGAGTACTGACAGTAGCCTGGCCCAGCCCCTGGTGTGGGGCACAGAGAAGGAACATACCATACTTCCCAAGACAGGGAGACAGGCAGGGGCATCCGCAGGGCTCAGGGGCCAGATGATGAGGTGCTCTCAGGTGACCTTGTCCCCGCTCTTCTTCCACTCTCCTCTCCCCATCCCCCCAGGACATTGCTGAGTCCCCGACTGCGAGTGCCAGCAGAAGGCCACATTTGCCCCTAACAGGACTGAAAACTTTGGGGTCTGTCTCCCTCTTCTCTTTTTTTTTTTTTTTTTGAGGCAGTCTCATTCTGTCACCTATGCTGGAGTGCAGTGGCACGATCTTGGCTCACTGCAGTCTCCGCCTCCCAGGTTCAAGCAGTTCTGCCTTAGCCTCCCGAGTAGCTGGAATTACAGGCACTCACCACCACACCCGGCTAATTTTTGTATTTTTATTAGAGACAGGGTTTTGCCATGTTGGCCAGGTGGTCTCGAACTCCTGACCTCAAGTGATCTGCCCACCTGGGTCTCCCAAAGTGCTGGGATTACAGGCATGAGCCACCACGCCCAGCCCCTCTTCTCTTCATTTAAGTGTTTTCTTCAGCAAACAGTATCCTAGGAGCATTGCTCGTACGGGCCGGAATGGCACCCACTGTCCTGCCTGCCCACAGAGCCTGCCTATAGACACCCCTTGCCTGCTTCAGTGCCAAGTGAACACCATAGAGATCTGCCTTGTGTCTCCCGCACCCCTGGCTGCAGGGGAGCCCCCGCTCCCTCCTCGAGCTGGAGGGGGCCTCGCTGCCATCCTTGGACCCCTCCCTGCCCTCAGCCTGCTGTCCTCAGTGCACTAGGAGTAGGTGGTGTGCTGTGGTTGTGTTGAGCCTTCATAGGTGTCCTCTGGTGGGCTTCGAATGGGAGTTCTTAATCCCCTCCAGTCTGTGGATAGAATTCAGGGGTCTGTGAACATGGATGAGGAAAAAATAACATCATTATTTATCCCTAACATAGCTAAAGTATGTAGTGTGACTTTTGATCATGAATGTAGACAATAAACCTCACAGCATTAGAAAGGCCTGTGAATAACCCACATAACAAACAAGCACATGTAGCCCCTGAACCAAACAAAAAATTTATTGAGACAGGGTCTCACTCTGTGGCCAGGCTGGAGTGCACCAGTAGCAATCTCGGCCCACTGCAGTTTCAGCTTCCCAGGCTCAAGTGATCCTCCCACCTCAGTCTTCTGATTAGCTGGGACTACAGGTGCACACCACCATGTTAATTTTTGTATTTTAGTAGAGATGGGGTTTCACCATGTTAACCAGACTGGTCTCAAACTCCTGACCTCAGGTGATCCACCCGCCTTGGCCTCCTAAAGTGCTGGGATTATAGGCATAAGCCACTGTGCCCAGCCTAAAATTTTTTAAAAAATAAATGACAGGTGCAGTTGGCTCATGCCTGTAATCCCAGCACTGTGGGAGGCTGAGATGGGCGGATCATGAGGTCAGGAGATTGACACCATTCTGGCTAACACGGTGAAACCTTGTCTCTACTAAAAATACAAACAAATTAGCTGGGCATGGTGATGGGCACCTGTAGTCCCAGCTACTTGGGAGGCTGAGGCAGGAGAATGGTGTGAACCTGGGAGGCAGAGCTTGCAGTGAGCCAAGATCACACCACTGCACTCCAGCCTGGGCGACTGAGCGAGACACTCTCATAAATAAATAAATAAATAAAAAGAAAATCTTGTGACTTTATCCCCAGTGGAAATCACAGATATTTCATGTGAAGTTATAATTATTGCTGCTATATAGAAATATTTCTCACTACATCAAAATTACAGTAATAGCGAACCCACCCCTAGATCTTATTTAGTGCATTAACAAGAAGTTTGTGGCTGGATGCGGTGGCTCACTCCTGTAATCCCACCACTTTGGGAGGCCGAGGCAGGTGGATCACGAGGTCAGGAGATCAAGACCATCCTGGTTAACACTGTGAAACCCCATCTCTACTAAAAATAAAAAAGCAAAAAATTAGCCGGGCGTGGTGGCGGACACCTGTAGTCCGAGCTACTTGGGAGGCTGAGGCTAGAGAATGGCGTGAACCTGGGAGGTGGAGCTTTCAGTGAGCCGAGATCGCACCACTGCATTCCAGCCTGGGCGACAGAGCGAGACTCCATCTCAAAAAAGAAGAAGAAGTTTGTATATCACTACAGCACGTGTTTGGAGTTTTTTCCTAAATGTTTTGATAACTGTTCTGAGTTGATTTCCTTTGTAATTCTGTATAATTTATCTTAAAATTTTAAAAAACATTTTTCGCAGAGGGGACCCAGGGGCTTCACCAGACAGCCTGAAGGGTTCATGGCACAGAAAATATTAAGGAGGCCTGACCTGGAGTGTGCCTCAGTTGCCTTCCTGTGTTTATTTGTGGACCACCCGCTACCCCCATCGCCCCATGCTTCACTGAGCACCCAAGGACAGCGGAAGGCTCCTTGGCACAGTTATGCCAGGCCTACCCTCAGTCCTGGGTCACAGTGGAGACTGGGACATGGCCCTCTCCTCCAAAGCTCAGGGGCTGATGGGGTGCAGATGGAATATAGGCTTTGAATGTAGACAGGGTGAGGACCACCGTGATAGAGGAGGGACCAGGTGCTCCGGGAGCACAGAGGAAGAGCACTGGACCCTGCCTGGGGGAATCAGGAAGCCTTCCTGGGAGAGGAGGTGACCAAAACAAGAGCCCTAGAACTCATCTGAGTTAGCCTGTCAAGAAAGTGCTGACTGGCCGGGTGTGGTGGCCCACGCCCGTAATCCCAGCACTTTGAGAGACCAAGGATGCTGGATCACCTGAGGTCAGGAGTTCAAGACCAGCCTGGCCAACATGGTGAAACCCCATCTCTACTAAACATACAAAATTAGGTGTGGTGGTGCGTGCCTGTAATCCCAGCTACTCAGGAGGCTGAGGCAGGAGAATCACTTGAACTCAGGAGGTGGAGGTTGCAGTGAGCCAAGATCATGCCACTGCACTCCAGCCTGGGCGACAGAATGGGACTCCATCTCAAAAAAAGAAAAAAAATTAAAAGAAGGAGACAGAGTGTTCCAGGCAGAGAGAATGGGTATCAAAATGCCAAGCTGCGATAGGGCTGCGTGGCCCAGGGAAGACCCTCCTCATCCCCAGAGAAGGACACGCTATGTCGAAGGGGTTATGTTGTGTAGGTGGGTGGGGTAGGAGGGCCCCAAGAAAGAAAGGTCACATGGAGCTGTGTCATCCAGAGAAGGGCCGTGAGTGACTGCCCACCACAGCCAGGGTCCCCTCTGTGCAGAGGATACCAGACTGAGAACAAGAAATCGACCTACTGGATCTAGAGCTCTGTGACCCTGGGCAAGTCACTTTGCCTCTTTGATCCCTAGTCTTTTCTCTGGTGGAGATCCTATCCCAGGCAGTAGGACTCCCTCATGAGGTTGTGGAAAGAGTCAGATGCAGTCATGCCCCAGAATCCCACAGACGAGCTCCTGCCCTGTGCTGGCGGCAGCCCGTTCCTGTGCCTGCTGTGTGGAATTGCTCTCCCGCCTGCTGGATGTCACCTGGCACTCAGGGCCCCCTCCACTCTCTGCCTGCTCCTCACAGGTCATCGGGACCCTGGAGGAAGTCCACATGCCACAGAATGGGATCAACCACCCTGGTGTCACTGCTCTGGCCCAGGCTTTCGCCGTCAACCCCCTGCTGCGGGTCATCAACCTGAACGACAACACCTTCACCGAGAAGGGCGCCGTGGCCATGGCCGAGGTGAGGCGAGTGTGGCAGAGCCAGTTGCAACACGCAAGACAGAGGCTGGCAGCTGTCTTTCCAGGGAAGCCGGGGCTCTGTTTAGCAGGGACTGCTCTGTCCCCTGCCTGCCCCCTGGGTGTGTGCCCCATGGGTCCAGCTCTTTGAACACGTCCTAAACAGGGTTTCAGGTCACAAGGTAGCCCGCGCCCTCCTCGGGCAGCTCCAATCCTTCATGCCACCTTCTGAGCTGCCTCTGTGGCCCCCAGCGGCTGGCGCTGGTTTGGTTCTCAGGCTGCTCCCCACATCTGTTTTCCTGGTTGATTTGTTCAGCAGCTGCTGTTTGTTTTGTTATTTATTACCACTTTTTGAGACAGTCTTACTGTTGCCCAGGCTGGTCTTGAACTTCTGGGCTCAAGTGATCCTCCCATCTCAACCTGAGTAGCTGGGATTACAGGTGCATGCCACTGTGCCCGGCCCAGCAGCTTTTTCTGAGCCCCCATATAGTGCTTGGCTTTGTACTAAGTGCAGGCCACACAGGGTTGAGCCAAAGACTCTGCCTTCAGGGAGACCCTAGAGGGAAGGAAGCTGCCGGTGGTAACAGTGCCGGGCTTTGAACGCAGTGGCTTCTTGGTTGCCAGGGCCCCGTGGCCCCACAGAAGGCTAGTCCGGATGCCTGTGTGTTAGCAGAGATGTGTGCAGGTGTTGGGGAACACGCCAGAAGGAAGTTCAAATCAGACTTAGGGCAGGCTTCCTGGAAGAGATCACATTTTGGCTAAATTGTATAGGATAGTGGTTTTGTTTTTTGTTTTTTTTGAGACGGAGTCTCGCTCTGTCGCCCAGGCTGGAGTGCAGTGGTGTGATCTTGGCTCACTGCAAGCTCCACCTCCCGGATTCATGCCATTCTCCTCTCTCAGCCTCCTGAGTAGCTGGGACTACAGGTGCCCCGCACCAACACCTGGCTAATTCTTTGTATTTTTAGTAGAGACGGGGTTTCACCGTGTTAGCCAGGATGGTCTTGATCTCCTGACCTCGTGATCCACCCGCCTCAGCCTCCCATAGTGCTGGGATTACAGGCGTGAGCCACCGTGCCCGGCCATAGGACAAGTGGTCTTTTTCTAGAGAGAGGGTGGGGGATGGGTGTTTCAGGCAGTGGGATCAGCTTATGTGTGGAAGGCCCAGAGACTCGGGCAGGAGCCTTGCTCGGTTGGTCTCAGAAAGAGTTCTGGCCATAACGTGGGGAGTAGGGTGGAGGAGGTTTGGCCAGGGACCCAGAGGCCTACAAGAAGACAGCAAAGCTAGTGACTTGCAGAGAAGGACAGTGTGTGGTGGCTGATGTGGGATGTGACCGTGTGGGGCCCCCGGGACTTGCTGAGGGCTGGGGTGTGGCCTGCACCCTCACTCTGGACCCTTACTTCCACCTTGCAGACCTTGAAGACCTTGCGGCAGGTGGAGGTGATCAATTTTGGGGACTGCCTGGTGCGCTCCAAGGGTGCCGTTGCCATTGCAGATGCCATCCGTGGCGGCCTGCCCAAGCTAAAGGTGCCAGCCTGGATGCCTGACGTCCTCCCTCTGGGGTCTGTGGGTGGTGGGGTGGCTGGGGGCGCAGGGGTCTGGTCTGAAGGCAGGCAGGCCTGCATCCATATCCCAGCTCCCCCACTTCGGGCTCTGTGGTGCTGTGTGAGCCTGCACACCCTTCTGAGCCGTGGTTTCTTCATTTCTAAAGTGGGAGGCAGGGGTGGTGTGCGTCACTGTCGTAGAGTAAACACGCTCAGTACGTGACTCGTCGTTGGTTGCAGGGCATTATTTTTGTTGTTGGTGTTATTCTTCCTGCCCACTTTGCCCAATCCTGAGGACAGAGCCTGCCATATTCTCACTTGGGGAAACTGAGGCTTAGAGTAGAACCTGGTGTCCTGGCCTGGGTTTCTGCCTGCCTCCAACCCTTCCTCTTATTTTCAGGAGCTGAACTTGTCATTCTGTGAAATCAAGAGGGACGCTGCCCTGGCTGTTGCCGAGGCCATGGCAGACAAAACTGAGCTGGAGAAGCTGGACCTGAATGGTAGTCAGATGGGGGAGGCCTCTGCACAGGTCTGCTGGGCTGGCCCTGGCACCCCGGGCTGACTGCTCTTCCCTCCCCTTGAGCAGGCAACACCCTGGGAGAAGAAGGCTGTGAACAGCTTCAGGAGGTGCTGGAGGGCTTCAACATGGCCAAGGTGCTGGCGTCCCTCAGGTAGGGAACTCAGGGTGGGCGGCCCCAGAGGTCGGGGTCAGGCCATTCCTTTCTTTCTTTTTCTTGAGACGGAGTCTTGCTCTGTTGCCCAGGCTAAAGTACAGTGGTGCGATCTCAGCTCACTGCAGCTTCCACCTCCTGGGTTCAAGCGATTCTCCTGCCTCGGCCTCCCAAGTAGCTGGGATTACAGGCACCCACCACCACACCTGGCCCCTTTATTTGTTTCTACTTGTATTTATTCAGAAATGTTGGTTGCACTCCTGTTATGTACCAGGTCATACACTAGGCATCAGAGCTATAAGGGTGGGACACTCAGGGTTTCTGTCTCATGACGGAGGAGACAGAATGAGTTGTCCATTCAACAGAGGATCTCGTCCGGGCTAAGCGGGGCCACCCTGTAGAGTGGTGGAGTTGGGGAGGCCTCTGAAGGGGTGAGGCCAGATCTCATCCTGATGTGGTGGGGCCTGGGGAGTGACGGGGGTGGGAGGTGGGGGTAGCCAGAAGGGGCTGCACTCAGTATTGTTCTTAAGATGCTGACTCTAGAAAGGAAGAGACTGTGGGGCCTGGGGAGTCTACCTGGAGGCGAAGGTGGGTGACCGGGGAGTGGCCATCTTCTGGATCCAAGTCCGGTTGGGCCATCAGCACCTGGCTCCCTGTACTCCTTTCATCTCCAAGTCAGCCTCATTCATGCGTCAGATACTCAGTCGTGTCTCCTCGGTGCTAGGCCCTGAGCTGAGGCTGGGAACTGGGGACTCCGAAGTGGGCTGAACCTCACAGGTCCCACAGTCCCTCGGAAATGGACCAGCCTTCCTGTGGGGCAAGGACACTCCTACTCTACTTCCTCCCCCACGCCTGTAGCTTCCTGAGGTCATGTGGATATGGGCGCCCCCTGCGCTGGCATCTCAACCTGGGCAGTGTTCCTGCCAAGCCCTGGGCTCTGGATGTGACAAAGCTGTCTTCGTTTTCTGTCTCCCCATGAAACTTGGGGCTCCTCGAGGACAGGAACAAGATGTGATTCTTTTGTGTCCACAGCGTGGATTTCTCTGGTGATCTACCTACCCCTGCCCTGGGAGCAGGTGCTCCCACCCCACCAGGCTCTCTCCCGCCTGGCTGAGCTGAGGTCTCTGGGCTCATGGAGCCAGGCCTTGCAGCCAACCTGGGCTGCTGGGTAGAGAGGATCTGCTTCAGCCAGCTCTTTCTGCAGTGACGACGAGGACGAGGAGGAGGAGGAAGGAGAAGAAGAAGAGGAAGCCGAAGAAGAGGAGGAGGAGGAAGAGGAGGAAGAGGAAGAAGAAGAAGAGGAGGAGGAAGAGGAGGAGCCTCAGCAGGGAGGGCAGGGAGAGAAGTCAGCCACACCCTCACAGAAGATTCTGGACCCTAACACTGGGGTGAGTTTCTATCATTTGCCACAATCAGAGCCCTGGTCCTGAGAACGTGAAATCCTGAGGTGCTTTCACAATGGGGTAGGGGATGTCTCCTTAAGCACAGTAGCCACAAACATTTTTTTTTTTATTGCATGATATTGAGTAAAAAAAAGAAAATGGTTCAGTGTAATGATAGTTACCTATATTTCTTTCTTTTTTTCTTTTTTTTTTTTTGAGGCGGAGTCTCACTTGTCACCCAGGCTAGAGTGCAGTGGTGTGATCTCAGCTCACTGCAACCTCTGCCTCCTGGGTTCTAGCGATTCTCATGCCTCAGCCTCCCAAATAGCTGGGATTACAGGTGCTTGCCGCCTGGCCAATGTTTTTTTTGAGACAGCGTCTCGCTTTGTCGCCGAGGCTGGAGTGCAGTGGCGTGATCTCGGCTCACTGCAAGTTCTGCCTCCCAGGTTCACACCATTCTCCTGCCTCAGCCTCCTGAGTAGCTGGGACTACAGGTGCCCGCCACCATGCCCAGCTAATTTTTTATATTTTTAGTAGACATGGGGTTTCACCATGTTAGCCAGGATGGTCTTGATCTGACCTCGTGATCCGCCTGCCTCCGCCTCCCAAAGTGCTGGGATTACAGGTGTGAGCCACTGCGCCCAGCCTCATCTGGCCAATTTTTGTATCTTTAGTAGAGCCAGGGTTTCGCCGTGTTGGCTAGGCTGGTCTTTGTTTTACTCCTGACCTCAGGTGATCCATCCGCCTCAACCTCCCAAAGTGCTGGGATTACAGGTGTTGAGCCACTGCGCCTGGCCATAATTACCTATATTTCTATTTATTCCAATATAAATGTCTATTTATAAGTAGCAGTGCTGCTGCATTACGTATATTATAAGATATGCGTAAGGATTTCTGAAAGAATAAACAAATAAGCATGAATGGAAATTCTAATTTTTTTTTTCCCACCCACCAGAAGATTGTCTTGGTGACCCTTAGGAACTGCTCCCCCATTCCTGGGATGGTGGCTGGGCCGTGACTTGGCTTGGGCACTTGGTGTCTGGCCTGGGGCTGGTGGCATCAGGGCTGCCACACCTCCAGTTCATTCATTTGCATTCCTTGTCAGGTTCCTAAGTAAAGCTCCTGGAGAACTTGGCTTTGGACAAGGACTCCCCACACTTACGCTGAATTGGGCTGCTTCTCTGGTTTACGGAAGCAGTTAAACAAATGGCTAGGTGCGCCTCAATTCGGGTTTTTCTCTGGGCACCTCTGGTGCTAGCAGGGCTTACCCAGGCTGGACTGGAGTTCTCCGGGGACCCACTTTGGCCCCCATGTGCCTCTGTGGTCGTTGCTGGGGCACTGCGTGTCGTGATGAGGATCCACTTGGTCGTATTTATGAGTCTCAGGGAGGTGGCTTCCCCCTGACCCCAAAGGCTCCTGGAGCAAGAGCCATCCAGGGCCAGCATCTCTAGGTGATGTTGATAGATGGGAAATGCAGCTGAGTGGGAGGAGGAATTCTAGACTTTGAGCCTAGATGGGCTGGAGTGAAGGATGGATGTGCTGGGTGTGGGGATGGGCACAGCTGGGTGGGGAGTCTGGGGTCCGGAATTCTCCAGAGCCTCTGTGCCTCCACTTCGCAGGAGCCAGCTCCCGTGCTGTCCTCCCCACCTCCTGCAGACGTCTCCACCTTCCTGGCTTTTCCCTCTCCAGAGAAGCTGCTGCGCCTGGGGCCCAAGAGCTCCATGTTGATAGCCCAGCAGGTAATAACCACACCTTGCCCCCCACCCTGTACTTGCCGTGGCTTCTGGAGCTGTTAGAGAAAAGGGACGAACAGCTCAGGGACCTGGGGGTGCGACACTGTCAGCTGGGGGCAGGGAGGCTTGGCCTGCTACTGTTAGAACACACACAAATGTCCAGGGTATTTATAAGCCTCCAGGGGTTGCAAATGTTCCCTCCTCACTCGGCCTACAGAAAGTGCAGCCCGCCAGTTCCCATGCTGACTGGGGTTAGGGAATTTCCTCAGGACTCTTGCATGTGCCCACCCCCTCCTGGGCTTCTCTCTGCATGTTCTGTCAGCCCAGCTGCTCTGTTGCCCGGGGCCCCTCTGGGAGTGGCGTGCCTATTGCAGGATGGGTGAGAATACCTCTGTTGCCCGGGGCCCCTCTGGGAGTGGCGTGCCTGTTGCAGGATGGCGCCCTCACTCCAGCCTAACTTGTTGGCTGGCTCATTCATTCATTCAGAGGTGATCTTTGGGGCATCCATTTTCTGTCAGGTACTGTATTTGGGCATGATTTTATTTAACCCTCTTGACAACTTGAAATGTAGACTTTGCTGCCCTTATTTTACAGATAAGAAAACAGAGGCTCGGAGGTATAGAGAAATAAAATGGGCGCACTCTCAGCGTTGGCTTAACATTTCGGCCAATTGCTTTGTTAGGTTTTGCCTGTGTTCTTTGTTTCTTTTAACATGATAAATAAGATGATGTAAGCCTTTTTGTGGCCTATCACTTTGGTTTAACACCATTCATCACTTTCTTGTGCCCGTAAAACTCTTCTCATGATTTTTATTCCAATGCATGGATGTAGCACTTAAAATCCAGGCACTATTTCTGGACGTTTTCCCTGGCCCACTTTTCCCTGTTGTCAGTGAGGTTGAGGTAAACTTCTCTGCATGTGAGTATCATCTACATCCTAGATTATTTCTTCAAGATGGGGACCACTGGGTCCCTGAAATGATCTTTTTGTGTGTGTGAGACACTGTTTTGCTTTGTCACTCTGGCTGGAGTCCAGTGGTGCAGTCGTGGCTCATTGCAACCTCAACCTCCTGAGCTCAAGCAGTCCTCCTGCCTCAGCCTCCCAAGTAGCTGAGACTATAGGCACACACCACCACCCTTGGCTAGTTTTTTTCCTTTTTGTTGACATGGGGTCTTGCTGTGTTGCCCAGGCTGGTCTCAAACTTTTGGCCTCAAGCCATTCTCCCACCTCAGCCTCCCAAAGTGCTGGGGTTACAGGCATGAGCCACTGCACCTGGCTGGGATGATTTTTCATCCTTGTTCATTCACTCATTCATTCCCTCTCTATGCTGCATATTTGCTTGCTGCAGGCCAAGTCCAAGCCAGACTCTGAAGGGACAGCATGGGGTAAGGCAGGACCTGTCCTTGCCTGCCAGGGGCTGGTGTACTGCCTGGGCCTCTCCTAGCTAGTGGCAGAGCCCAGGGACATCTCCCCCATGTGCCACAGGCCAACCATTGTCTCTTATGTCCTCAGACTGACACGTCTGACCCCGAGAAGGTGGTCTCTGCCTTCCTAAAGGTGTCATCTGTGTTCAAGGACGAAGCTGCTGTGAGGACGGCAGTGCAGGATGCAGTAGGTAATGTGGGCTGGGTGAGGCCGGGGTGCCCGCTGGCCCTTGATGCTCGTGAGGCCCCGGTGCCCTTTGTGGTCGCCGTCACTCGTCAGCCCCAGTGCTGTCATGGGAACTGCTCTTTGAGACCCTGTGCTGCTCCTCCATCAGGGTCCTGCCATGGTCCTGCCGTGGAGCCAGGTGGGTGCTCGTCTCCCTGTTTTTCACCACTGAGAAACTGAGGCCTTTCTCAAATGCACACAGCCATATAGAGTTAGAACCCAGAGCCCGCTCTAGGAAGGCCAGATAGTCACATCCGCAAGCCCGATGGACGCAGGTCTGTCGGGAGGAGGGATGCTGAGAGCTGAGCCCTTGTGCGTACCTCAGAGCCTCTGTGCTCATGTCCATTCTACCTGGAGCTTCCCTGCACAGAGGACACCTTTCCCTGTAACATTATGGGGCCTTCTCGGAGCACCAGCCCACGCCCCTCCTGCCCTATGGCAACCCTGTCCCCACCCCGTCTGTTTCCTCCATTCCAGCACCTGTCACCTTCCACCCTGTGCTTGACTGAGGCAGAGGGGAGGAAGGGCCCTGAGGCAAGGGGCGCGGCTCCTGGAAAAGGATAGAAAGGGGTGGAAGGACATGTGGTGCCTCTTCCTGGCCTCTACTGTGGGTGGCGTTAAAGTGGGGAGGGCAGCTCAGTGGGAAGGGAGGCTTGGAAGGAGGTGGGGCCAGACACAAGCCTGCTCCCTGAGGGCCTGCCCGGGGGCATTTATGGGAACAAGTTGCCCTAGTTCTGTTGCCCAGGAAGCCTAGCACAGTCCCCGCACATCCCCTCACCCCACCAAAATAACCTGAATCCTCCCCCAGTGGTGGCCTGCCTCAGGAAATCTCCACTCCCACGGTGTGAGGTGGGCACAGTGGCTGTCATCCCCACACCCATGTTACACCTGAGGCCAGGATGGGGAAGGGCCAGAGTGTCACAGCTGGTAGATGGACTGAGCCCATCCCCTGATGCCAACTGCCCCTCCCTCTGGTTCCTGTGTCTCTGCCATCCCTCTTGTGTTCGCCTCTTCGTCAGGGCAAGGAGGCAGGCGAGCCTGTGTGTGCGCGGTGTGGGGGGAGCCTTGGGTGCCTTGGCACAGTGCTCTGTCGTAGCCAGCAGCCTGCCCCTGCTACTTCTGCCCTACAGATGCCCTGATGAAGAAGGCTTTCAGCTCCTCGTCCTTCAACTCCAGCGCCTTCCTCACCAGGCTCCTCGCACACATGGGTCTACTCAAGGTGAGGCCGGAAGGAGCAGCAGGCGCGGGAGGGAGGTGGGCGAGGTCTGCACAGAAGCTGCCCCAGCCATGCCTGCCAGCCTCCCTCACCTCGAGTCCTGAGCCGTCCCACCCACTGGGCCCTGAGGCCTGGGTCCGCCCCAGCAGCCTCGGTCTTCATGATGAGGTTCCGGCTGGACTCAGTTGTGAGCACCGCCCGCAGAGTCTGGATGGTGGAGTCCAGGGGCCGCCCAGGTGAACTTGACGCTCACCCCGCCTTTCGCTGTGTTCCCCTCACAGAGTGAAGATAAGGTCAAGGCCATTGCCAACCTGTACGGCCCCCTGATGGCACTGAACCACATGGTGCAGCAGGACTATTTCCCCAAGGCCCTTGCACCCCTGCTGCTGGCATTCATAACCAAGTGAGTGTGGCCCTGTTGTCCTTCTGCCGCGGCCTGTCCTCTCAGGCTTCTCTGGCCAGGTCCAAAGGCCTCCAGTCCCAGGAGGTCCAGCCCAGCCAGCCTGCTGGCCCTGCTCGGGTGCACAAGAGGCCCTCATGCTTCCTGGGCTCTCAGCATCTGTGTTGGAGTCTCACCACCCTCGGGAGGCCCGCTCCCCTCTGCCTAGCTGAGGACAGTGGGGCTCAGGGGCAGTGAGAGAGGAGACATGTAACGCCCCCATTTTGCCGATGAGGAAAGGAGCACCGGGTTGGTTAAAGAGTTTCCGTTGGTCACACACTAGGAAGAGGCTGGGCCAGTGTCCAGACCCACGTCTGTGAGCAAGGTGCTATGCGTGGTGACATCTCTGGAGGGGCTTTTTGTCCATGCTCACAGTAGTGCAGGCCGAAGGGGCCCAGTCACACTAGGCCCTGCAGCCCCAGGCCCTCTCCTGGGGACACACATTGCCCCGGGAGCCGCCAAAATGCCCAGCAATGTAGGAACCTTGGCCTTGTTCTGGAGGGTCCTGGGGAGTCCTGGGGCATTGATGGGGTGATGGGCACAGTCAAGTAACAGAGCCAAGGCCCCACCAGGGGTGGGGAGGCTTGCCCCGTACACCCTCATGGGGTCCTGTGTGGCCCCTGGCCAACCTGTGGCCTTCATCAGGCCTCAGTCTCCCCATTTGCCCAACCGGAGGGTTAGGTGAAATTGTCTCCAAGCGCCCTGACCAGCCACACTTCCAGTCAGTCGGCGCCATCCGGGGAAGTGGGGCAGGTAGAGGAGCAAGAAAGTCCCTTTGCTGGGGGAGCCCAGAGCCCACCGGCCGAGGCAGGATGCTTGGTGCATGTGGGGAGGCGGGGCTGGTGGAGTGTGAGCAGCCCTGTCCACCCCAGCGTCTGGAGTGTCTGTCCGCACGGCGCTGTCTCCTTAGCCAGGCCTTACCTCCTGGCCGCGTGCCCCCCACCCAGACCACTCCTTGGGCTGCAGCTGGACTGGCCTTGGTGAATGGCAGATCTCACTGTCCGCCTCCTCTGCCAGGGGCCAGGTCAAGCCTCACTGTGAATCTCGTGGCTGGCCACAGCCTCACCCTCACCCCACCCCACCCCAGCACAGTGTGCGCCCCCTGAACCCCTTTCCACAGCAGTGCCATTGCTGCGGTGCCGAGCTTTGTCCATGCTATCCAGAGCTTGTTTGGCCAGTGGCCCCAGCCCCTCCCTGTACCTGCACCTGAGTCCTTTGTGTCCTTCCTACTCCCTGGTCAGAGTGGTTCCCTCTGCATCTCTGGCAGCCCCTGTGCTGTCCTAAGCCTGGGCATGAGCCCCTCGGCCCTGTTAGAGCAGAATGCCTTTTCCCATCTTGTTGCCCAACCTCCAGCACAGGCCTCAGTCTGCCCCCTAGGTCTCGTCCGAGGTGACGGATTAACTCTGTAGTGACATGCACGGCCCCTCTTCCCTCAGCTCCCAGCCAAATTGGGATCCCAGGCCTGGCGCAGATCCTGGCCTGTTCATCAGCTACAGGCCAGAGGTGTTGTCAGGCCTGGTCCTGGCTGCGTCCCACACTTGCCCAGTGCCCCAGAGTCTTGCCTCAGTTTCTTTCTTTGCAGTGAAACTAATGATATTGAGGGCAACAATGGGGAGCTCAGGCGCAGTGGCTCCTATCTGTAATCCCAGCACTTTGGGAGGCTGAGGCAAGATCACTTGAGCCCAGGAGTTCGAGGCCAGCCTCGGCAACATTGGTGAAACCCCGTCTCTACAAAAAATACAAAATTAGCTGGGTATGGTGGTGTGTATCTGTGGTCCCAGCTACTTGGGAGGCTGAGGCAGGAGGACCACCTGAGCCTGGGAAGTCGAGGATGCAGGGAGCCGTGATTCCAGGACTGTACTCCAGCCTGGGCAACAAAGAGAGACCCTGTCTCAAGAAAAAAACAACCAAAAAACAATGGCTAGCCATTTACTTATGACCCAGATTGGACTCTAGTGGGCCAGTCATGTGAGGCCACTGGCAGCCAGTGAGGATTCCCTGGCCTATGTCTGCTGGAAAGGCCCTTGAAGAGCCTGGCTGAGGTGGGGCTGTGTTGTGGCCAGCTCTGGGCTGTGTGGCCTTGGGTGCCTACCTCTCACCCCTCCTACCCCCACCCACAACGTGCAGTCTCCCTTGCTGTCTTCCTTGCTGAGTCATCAGCAATGTCTCCCTTGCTGAGTCATTGTGCAAATTAACAAAAATGAGTCTGGTACCAAAATGGCCCCCACACTTGGAAAACGGGGACCAAGAGGCATCCATCCCACCTGCTGACCCTTCTTTCCCCGCAGGCCCAACAGCGCCTTGGAATCCTGCTCCTTTGCCCGCCACAGTCTGCTGCAGACACTGTACAAGGTCTAGACTCAAAGCCTCTCCCATCCCTTGGCCTGGACCAGTGAGCTGGGGAGGGACTCGGAGGAACTGAGGCACAACCCACGCCGTTGCCTTGGACAGGACTCTGGTCAGAGGCAGGGCGGGTCTGCGTCCCGTGTGTCCTGTCAGTCCCCTGAATATGTGTGTAGGTGTGGTACGCGTGCAGGTCTGTGCCTCCTGTCGGGATTTGGGTTTGAACCTCTCTCTGCTGGCCTGGCTCTGCTCTGTTGTGGGGAGTTGGCCCCCAGGGGAAAGGACTGTGAGCTGCTCCGCCATTAAACTCACCTTCACCTGACGGCGCTCTGCTGATCTCCACCTGGGCCCTGATGGCTGTCCCCACCCACCTGCCTTCCAGCCCGGCTCCCTGGCGGAGCCAGAGCCCAGGGAGTTGCCCACGTGCTGTCCTTCCCCTCTGTGTTGTGACTGGGCTGTTTCCTGCCCTGCCTGGGGCTGCTTCTCGTCACCAAGCCCTGGTCCTGCAGCAGCTGTCCTCCCTACCATCCATGCCACTGTGCTGAGCGCTCAGCCTGAAGAGCAGAGAATACCATGGGTGGGACTGTGGGGGTGGGATCATGGGGCTGCTGGCAGAGGGCAACCCTGGGCCCCATGCCGTGTGGCCAGGCAGACACCAGATTGTCCAGGAGCAGGAGCTGCTGGAACTGCGCTGGCCCCGGACCTAGCGGACCCTCTCCTGGCTGCTGAGATGTTGTCTGTGACTGGCCTGGGGGCCAAGCTGGAGGGGGTGTGTTGACAACCCAAAGCTGTTGTCCAGTCTGTGGAGGGAGGGGCAGGGTCCCCAGTGTCCGAGCCGTATCTGGACGCTGCTCTTGAAGGACCTCCTGGCGCAGGGGAGCAGTGGGGTCTGGACTGGGCAGATGCTGTACAACCTCCCTGCGTGCCCGTGACTGCCCCATGCTTTCCCCTTTGTGTTCTGTGTGTGTCTGGGCTGTGCCCGGGGGCTTCACAAATAAAGTCATGTGTACAGCTTCAGAGACTCAAACTCTGACCTAAAGCGGGATAGTCTCGGGGGCCATCATACGTGGAGTCCCACCTTGGCAGAGCACACGGCGCCACAGCAGTCTGTGAGGGCAGTCAGCCCTGCAAAGGGCCCGGCCTCGGCCTCAGGCCACCACCTGGGCAGTGGCAGTCCTGAATGAGGACCCATTTTCCTGCCTGGCCACGCCTCACCCAGCACCCTGCCTTTGGGCTGCAGCTCTCTTGGCTCCTGCGTTGCTCCTTCACTAAGGCAGCCACCTCCCTTGGGGTCCTTTGCTCCACTGCCACATATGTGAGGGCAGCCCAGCCAACCTTCCTTACCTCCTGCCCTATGCCATGTGTGTGCTTGGGGAGCCCATGTCCCCCACAAATGGCCTCCAAGAAGAAGTCCCTTGGCCAGGCGTGGTGGCCCATGCCTGTAATCATAGCACTTTGGGAGGCTGAGGAGGGTGGATCACGAGGTCAGGAGATTGAGACCATCCTGGATAACGTGGTGAAACCCCGTCTCTACAAAAAAATACAACAAAAATTAGCCGGGCATGGTGGCAGGCGCCTATAGTTCCAGCTACTCGGGAGGCTGAGGCAGGAGAATGGTGTAAACCTGGGAGGCAGAGCTTAGAGTGAGCTGAGATCGCGCCACTGCACTCCAGCCTGGGCAACAGAGCGAGACTCCGTCTCAAAAAAAAAGAAGTCCCTCGAGGGTTTCTTAGGGGGTAATATTTTCTTTTTTCTTTTTTTTTTTCTTTTTTTTTTTTTGAGATGGAGTCTCGCTCTGTCACCCAGGCTGGAGTGCAGTAAACGGATCTCGGCTCACTGCAAGCTCCGCCTCCTGGGTTTACGCCATTCTCCTGCCTCAGCCTCCCAAGTAGCTGGGACTACAGGCGCCAGCCACCTCGCCCGGCTAGTTTTTTTGTATTTTTTTAGTAGAGACGGAGTTTCACCGTGTTAGCCAGGATGGTCTCGATCTCCTGACCTCGTGATCCGCCCGTCTCGGCCTCCCAAAGTGCTGGGATTACAGGCTTGAGCCACCGTGCCCGGCCGGGGGGTAATATTTTCTTATTGGCAGTCGACCACGTAGGCGACCAGGTGGCGGAGGGTAGTGCCGGCCCTGCCCCCGTCCTCTGTGTGAGTTGATACGGTAGGGGATGGGTGCAGGGCTGGTGTTAAGTTTTGATATATGTTACAACGTGGATGAACTTTGAAAACATTACGTTAAATGAAATAAGCCAGACACAATAGGACAAATACGATTGCATTTAGGTGAGGCATCTAGAATAAGCAAATTCAGAGACAAGAAGGTAGAGGTTGCCAGGGGTAGGGGAAGGGTGGGATAGGGAGTGAGGCTGAGAACACATTCTCTAGGATGATGAAGATGTTCTGGAAATGGAGAGTGGTAATGGTTGCAGAACATTGTGAATGTACTTAATGCCACTGAATTGTAGACATAAAAATGGTTAAAATGATAAATTTTATGTATTAATATATTTTATCTCAGTTAATTAAAAAAAAATAAGCAAAATTATAGAGCTTCACCCGGGCGCGGTGGCTCACGCCTGTAATCCCAGCACTTTGGGAGGACAAGGCGGGCCGATCACTTGAGCCCAGGAGTTCAAGACTGGCCTGGCCAACATGGCAAAACCCCGTCTCTACTAAAAATACAAAAATGAGCCGGGTGTGGTGATGCACGCCTGTAGTCTTAGCTACTTGGGAGTCTGAGGTGGGAGGATCACCTGAGCCCAAGAAGTCCAGGCTGCAGCAAGCCATGATTGTGCCACTGCACTCCAGCATGAGTGACAGAACGAGACCCTGTCTCAAAAAAGAGCTTGTAGGAGATAGTGTAGGTGAGTATCTTCAAGGCCTTAGGAGTAAGGAAAAGATGTTTGCCATTATTGTGGGATGTTCATACAATGGAAACGATGTACCAGTGAGAACAGGTTTCTGTTTATCAAAATATTCATTAAGGAGTACAAAGGCAACTTACAGGGAGAAAATAATTACCCAAACTCACTCTGTATATATAAATGGGTGTGGGGGGGATAACTGTTTTTTTTGGTTTTTTTTTTTTTGAGACGGAGTCTGGCTCTGTCGCCCAGGCTGGAGTGCAGTGGCTGGATCTCAGCTCACTGCAAGCTCCGCCTCCCGGGTTCACGCCATTCTCCTGCCTCAGCCTCCCGAGTAGCTGGGACTACAGGCGCCCGCCACCGCGCCTGGCTAGTTTTTTGTATTTTTTAGTAGAGACGGGGTTTCACCGTGTTAGCCAGGATGGTCTCGATCTCCTGACCTTGTGATCCGCCCATCTCGGCCTCCCAAAGTGCTGGGATTACAGGCTTGAGCCACCGTGCCCGGCCAACTTTTTTTTTTCAAACAGGGTCTCATGTTGTCCAGTTTCTTCTATCTTGGCTCACTGCAGCCTCTACCTCCTGGGCTCAGGTGATCCTCCCACCCCAGCCTCCCAAGTAGCTGGGACTATAGGCACACGCCACCACACCTGGCCAATGTTTTGTATTTTTAGTAGAGACGGGGTGTTGCCATATTGCCCAGGCTGGGAGAATTTCTATAAATAAAAGACAATGGGAAAAAGCAAAAAGCTCAAATGGGCACTTTACAAAAAGCATGTGAAAAGGTGCTTAATTTCATTAGTCTTAGAGAAACATAATCCCGGTGTGACACTCTTCTGCCCGCACTAGAATGGCTAAAATACAAACGACCGTACCAAGCTTGGTGAGGATTTGGGGCAGCTGGAGTGGCTGGCGGATGTGTAAATTGGCACAACCTTTTTTTTTTTTTCTGAGACAGGGTCTTGCCATGTCACCCAGGCTGGAGTGCAGTGGTGCGATCACAGCTCACTGCAGCCTCGACCTTCCAGGCTCACTCAATCTTCCTGCCTCAGCCTCCCAAGTAGCTGGGACCATGTCACAAGCCACCATCAGGCTGGTCTCGAACTCTTGGCTCAAGACCTCCCACCTCAGCTCACTTAACAGGCATGAACCACCATGCCCAGTTACAGTGTTCTTTCTAATAAACTCATGCTGGAAACAACCCAAATATCCATCACTAGGCTGGGCGCGGTGGCTCAAGCCTGTAATCCCAGCACTTTGGGAGGCCGAGACGGGCGGATCACGAGGTCGGGAGATCGAGACCATCCTGGCTAACATGGTGAAACCCCGTCTCTACTAAAAAATACAAAAAACTAGCCGGGCGAGGTGGCGGGCGCCTGCAGTCCCAGCTACTGGTGAGGCTGAGGCAGGAGAATGGCGTAAACCCGGGAGGCGGAGCTTGCAGTGAGCTGAGATCCGGCCACTGCACTCCAGCCTGGGCGGCAGAGCGAGACTCCGTCTCAAAAAAAAAAAAAAATATCCATCACTAGAGGAGTGGGTAAACTACTTGTGGTATGGTGAGGTACCAAGAAGGCAGGAATGGTCTGCCCAAGAAGAAATACTTGAGCATTGACATTGTTTAGACTTGCCAGCACATGATAATAAAAAGCAGACCAACTTTAAGTCAGTTCCATTGTATCTCACTTCTCCACCGACAGCACACCACTTATTGCCTGCATCGTGGGCAGATCGCCTCCCACCCCTGCCCCATGCTACTGTTGTCATATATTTATAGAGTGGAAGGCTGGAATGCTGTATTTAAAAGAAAAAAAAATTTAAAATAGATGAGGCCAGGTGCGGGCTCACAGCTGTAATCCTAGTACTTTGGGAGGCTGAGGCGGGTGGATCACTTGAGGTCAGGAATTTGTGACCTGCCTGGCCAATGTGGTAAGACCTGTCTGTACTAATAATACAAAAGTTAGCTGGGTGTGGTGGCAAGTGCCTGTAATCCCAGCCACTTGGGAGGCTGAAGCAGAATTGCTTGAACCTGGGAGGCAGAGGTTTCAGTGAGCCGAGATCACACCACTGTACTCCAGCCTGGGCAACAAGAGCTAGACTCCGTCTCAAAAAAAAAAAAAAAAAAGAATCTAACATAATGTTGAGTGAAAAAAGCCAGACACAGCCAGGTACAGTGGCTCATGCCTGTTATCCCAACACTTTGGGAGGCTGAGGCGGGAGGATCACTTGTGCCCCGGAGTTCAAGACCAGCCTGGACAACATAGCAAGACCCCAACTCTACAACAAATTTTAACACTAGCTACAGGTGGCAGTGTGCATCTGGAGGTCCCAGCTGCTTGCAAGGCTGGTATGTTGAGGCCGCAGTGAGCCATGATCACACCTGGGCAACAGTGAGACCCTGTCTCAAAAAAAGGATGAAAGAGCAACACTGAAGTTCCATTGATTGGAATTTGCCAAGCAAAACAAAGCACAAAGCAGATGTCTGTGTGGCATGGCACTATTTCTTTTTCAAAAATGTTACTGCAGGGCTGGGTGCAGTGACTCACGCCTGTAATCCCAGCACTTTGGGAGATCAAGGCGGGCAGATCACTTGAGGTCAGGAGTTTGGGACTAGCCTGGCCAACATGGTGAAACCCTGTCTTTACTAAAAATGCAAAAATTAGCCAGATGTGGTGGCATACACCTGTAATCCCAACTACTTGGGAGGCTGAGGCATGAGAATCATTTGAACCAGGGAGATGGAGGTTGCAGTGAGCCGAGATCACGCCACTGCACTCCAGCCTGGGTGATAAAGTGAGACTCTCTCATAAAACAAAAAAAAAAACCTGGGCCGGGCGCGGTGGCTCACGCCTGTAATCCCAGCACTTTGGGAGGCCGAGGCGGGCGGATCACAAGGTCAGGAGATCGAGACCACGGTGAAACCCCGTCTCTACTAAAAATACAAAAAATTAGCCGGGCGCGGTTGTGGGCGCCTGTAGTCCCAGCTACTTGGGAGGCTGAGGCAGGAGAATGGCGTGAACCCGGGAGGCGGAGCTTGCAGTGAGCCGAGATCGCGCCACTGCACTCCAGCCTGGGCGACAGAGCGAGACTCCGTCTCAAAAAAAAAAAAAAAAAACCTGGCCGGGCGCGGTGGCTCAAGCCTGTAATCCCAGCACTTTG